TGCTTTTCTCATCAATCTGTTACAGAAAATGATAAACTAGTTGTTTGTGTGAACGAAGTATTCATGGTCAACACACTGTTGTTAATGGTGTGCACTTCGGTATGATGTGAAAATATGATAATTGAAGAATAAAAGTATTGTTGAGTGATGAATACATTGCTGTTAAACACATGTTTTGCTTTTGATCAGGAAGCTCATATTGTGACTGTGTTGATCTACCTCACGAAAAGCTGAAAGCTACATTACAATATGCAATTATCAATGCATTATCATATTTATGTTAAGTACAATACATGTGCACCAGTTATATTGTGTGTGCTAATATCACTGCATTCCTTTTCCTGTTATCATTTCTACTCCAAATGAATTTCTTATCATCAAATCAATTCGAACAAATATTGAACATAAATGTCATCAATGTTGATCAGCTATTGTTACGTAAAATGTCACCTGCATTTGTCTTTCTAATGTTGTAACTACTTAAAGCACTGTTTGAAAGCATTTTTTACCAGTTGCTGAACAAACCGGTTGTAACAATCAGTACTCGTCCTCTTTATGTTATTCATACAATATTATAATCATGCAATGTGCTAGTATTCTCAAGATAATCATGACATGATATTTTGTTGCCATTTCACAATCGATATCACGTGTTGTAAAGCCATGACACAACTGTTACTAAACTGGTATTTAATTAAAAATATTCTATCGTAACAACATATTTACATATGGTGGTTGACTAAGAATGAGCGCTAATCACTGTGGTCTTGATGACCATGTCGCATCTTTTTGACAGGTAATAAGAAAAATAATCAAAAAATTTTAAATGATGGTAACATAAAAATATTTAATGAGATATTATAGTGTGATCAATTTAATTGGCATTTATTATGCAAATATTTGTGTGATTTTGCAGCAATTTTACAGCACTGCTGCTTTCTCTCAAATTGATATGCTATCAGCAAAAAGAAGAAAAAAATGTACCAGTATATTGAAAGATGAGGCTGAAGCTAAATAAAATAAGAAAACGATACAATACAGAACAACATCCTAAGTCTAGGGGTAATTATGGCAGTGCTAGTGCAAGGAAACAACACATGTGATAGTAGCTCATTTTTTCACTAAAACTCGTTTACTTATGTTCACACATTACAATATCCGAATAAACACACTTTTGTGGTCCGCTAGATCCAGTCATGACCACTAGAATTTAGTTCAAAGGGAAAATTTGTCTTTCATCTTGCTCAAAATCTTCGCTCGCATCCTATCACAATATAAAGGTGTGCTGAAACCGCAGCAGTGGCTTTAACATACAAGCCATGACTTTCATTATCTTCCTCAGAAGCGCTCGAATAACTTTTATTCTGGAATGGGTAGTGGACGCTATACAACTCGCACCCGTAGGTTGCAATCGGAAGTAGAACGAACTTGACCAAAAGCATCTTGGTGGATGCTGGCACAAACTTCTGTGTGAGGAGCGGTTTCATCTCATGGACATACGGATCATCTTTTCTTTCTTACCCGTATTACTACTTTCACGTCAGGATCAGATGTCAATAGTAGGCTGAGGTGTGTATAGCTATCTATATCAGGAAGAAACTGCTCGCTAAAGCACATTCTGTATGCATCTCCTGGACCAAATACAAATACTTCAATCCTGTTAATGTGCAGAGACATCTTTCACCGTTTGCACCAATAGCTGATCCTGTGTAGCCTGCTCTGCAGTTCATGGGCAGACTTAGCAAGTAGAGCAGGCTTAGAATGACCTCGCGCTCGGTTGCATTGTGACTTTGCCAAGACCATCGAACAGGTCATTGGTGCACAGGTTAAACAGAACCCGGGACGCGGGCATCTCTACCTAACTTCGATATTGTACATTAACAATGCTGAACGAATTTAGCCTGTCAGCACGGATGCCCATACAAGGCAGTGAGAAGCCAAACGAGATTTCCGTGGAAGTTGTACAACCACAGCTTGGCCAGCAGGCCCTCTGTAGTAACACATCGTATGTCTTTGATAAATCCAAGAAGGCTACGTACGTCACTCTACGCTTCAGGCTGCACTATCTTGCGATCATGTACGGGCAGGCTGCGTACATGATATATCTCTGTAGCTAATCGCTCGTAAATCGACACTTTCACGCTCAAAGATGCTTGACAAATAGACACAAGAAAAATAATGACCTTAGTAAACGAGTAAACTTGAAATATAGAATAAACTGCCATGAAAACTTGTCTTGGGCAACAAAATTAAATCAGAAATTTTTTAATCATCCATATAAACCGAGTTGTTAGTTAACAGCGACTACCGGTGACTGTTGATACATCTTTGCAGCGTTATACCTGTTTTTTGTGCATCTGTTATTTGCTCCAGTGTTTTGAGATTGCCTGAAGCGATTAGACTGCATGATGCTTTGCTGGCTATTAGTCATATTTGGCCTGTCATTGATGTTTTTTATCAGATCCGCGCTCAGTCTTCCAGGTCGTGCTGTATTATTGTTGAATTTTCGTTCGACATTCGGGGGCCACATATTACTAACCCCTTCTTGCGTTCTCCGTATGTCTAAGCGTTTTGGCGGTACATTTTCCTTGTGCCCGTTGACTTGTAGACATCCACCGTACTGTGCCTTGGCGAATCGATTCATCAGCTCAGTTTTGAAAGAATTTGTTTCATCACACAACTGTCCATCCCTAACGTACTTGTGGAAATGTTTACCCCCAATGATCGAGACTTTGGTGTTTAAGCAGTTAACCAAACCAAGCATGGCCGAAAAGAAGCTTTTCAAGTGCTCGTACATTTCAATTCCATCTACAATAGCCAAACTCCCCACACCTTGATCCGTTTTCTTTTCCAACTCTAGTGCTCTCAAAAGTATGGCGCGATCACTCGAGCTTGACTCAAATATTTCGAATTGCGGTTTTTGCCCCGACTCGTCTACATAGCACTCGTTTATGTACGATAAATATATTTGAAGATCAATAAAATCACTCATTATTTCATCAAAAAGTGATATGTTTATTCCCCACAGAGCCGAACTGGCAATATTATCAGCTACTGGCTGTCTTAACATGCGTCCAATTTTTTGCATCAAACTTGCGCAGTTTATATTGCTTACTTTTCCTTTCACTATATTAAATTCATTAGTTGACATTGCTTTCAAGCTCCCTCCTCTTTGTGCTATTTTGTGGGCTTGTTCGAAGAACCTAACCTTTCCCAATTGAACTGTCAAGTCCTTGAAATATTTTTCGTTGTAAATTAAAAAGTTCTTGAATACTGGACGTAATCTTTCCGTAAAGCTGTTCTCTGTGGCAACTGCGCGTGCTGAATTGGTTGCGGAATCACCAGATAATTTTTCTTTGCTTATGTCGGAATTTTCCGTTGTATCAGAGGTGCACAAGTCCAAAGTACTCTGTCTTTGTTGATTTAACGCACCAGCCATTGTTAACGGAACACCAGAAACATAAGGTGATGACACATTTCCAGGATTACCGTCGTGCACGGCCTCACCGCTTGTAGCTACTACTTCATTGCACCCAATCGGATGCGCCATACAACCTGTTATTGGCCAGCTGAGACCCAATGGCTGAAACCAAGCAGTAAGTAAACATGCATACAGTAGTCGATACAACAATCGTGTCGGTCCTGCGTTCATAATGCAAATTCTTTTGATCTTTATATAGTTTGGCCATTTCCTTATTTATATCGATATTCTTTATGGATTTAAATGTTTTTTGGCAGCTTTGAGAAAAAGGTAAGGTGTCATACATAAATCTTTCTATATATGGTCATGCCAAGAAGTTTTCTTCTTTAGCTACGTATTGAAATCTTTCATTGCAGCTAGAAATATCGGAAACATGTCCCTGATTAGATACTCGAACCATGTAAATTGCAAAAATATTAACCATACACCAACATAGAAAAGAAGCAATCAACAATCCGGTTCAAAGTACCTAAATAATTAACTATGTAAACTGTCACGACGTTGTAGACGATACGATATTGAAAATCTAGTATCCATACACAATTGTACTATTAATTAAAGTATCTCAACAATATCACATTTCCACACTTTTGTCATATTTTGGCCATGAAACAAAAAATGTGTGCATATTTAGTTAAAAAACTATAAAAAAAATATTTTTGCTAATCACTTAAATCATACCTTATGTGATATATGAACAGATTTGGTGTGGCTAAAAATGATTTTTTTTTTCAATTTTATTTCATTTCTACCATTCTGTCGTATTATAAGATTCACAAGCTACACTTTCATGAAGTACTGAAAACATGCAAGTATTTCTCTATGCATTGAATACCTAGAACAGTGACCTCATCTTAATACTCATGATAAAAATACAACAATTATTGATCTCATATCGTATTTATTCTTTATAATTAGACAAAAACATATTAATTATTCGCATTTAGGGACACAAATTGTGTCGTTCAATTTTGGTACCAAATAGGTGATTCCAAACATTGAACGGCAAATAAAGCAATAATTGTTTATAATTCATGTAATACTAATTTTTCAAACAAAATTTTACTTGAAAACTATTTTCAACCTGGTCTTCATCAACTATGGCTAGATTTGGCAAATTTTTTTATATGACGAAAATGTGCCTTGTATTAATATTTTATAATGGAAATATGCAGTTATATCATATTTTAGTTCATTTCAGTGGTGCAACACGCATTATTATAGCATGTTTATATATTCTGCTTGAAATTGATATCTTTATGGCTTTTCGGTGACACATTGATATTATCTTGATCTATCGACCTGTTTTTGAAGAATAATTTACAGCTGATATTTCTTATCGGTGTACTACGGCCAATTATCATTTTAAACCTTTTTCTGTGCATCCTTTGACAGAAAATCGTTTGTATTATGACCTACAATAATAAATCAATCACTTATGCCAATGGTTCTCTCCATATCTCTCTTTTGACAGCAATGTTTCAACATTTTCTTCATCACATGTCCATTTTCACAGGTTTCCTCATTAAAAATATACCACTTAATAATCGCTTACAAGTGGTTTGAGCTGTCTACTTTTGTATGCTATATTTTGAGGTGTAGCCAACATCATTAGCTACTTTCACTAAGGCCTTTACACTCTAGGGACGATATATACTGATTTCATAACCGTATGATGCTTATATACTGGAACCAATTGTGTGAATTGACACCTTTTCTGCATTTATAGAGAACCTCAGGCTCGATGAGCAACAACAACATTATTCTCGTTTAACTTTATTGAATCAAGACGATCGCCGGTTCTACGAGACCGAATCGACAATATAGGTAGTACCATGGCTTATAAACCTATATTCCATCAACTGAGTCATATGCCAATTGCAAACATGCTCGTACCCGATTTACGTACGAACTCAACTTCATTTTAGCCTGTGAAATGGTTAACTGAGTAGTGTGATCATTCAACTGTTTCAGGCTGATACAATCGATACAAATTACTTTCAATAATAGAACAAAACTAATTGACCAAATCTATTCGTGATATCTCCATATTCTGTTATGGCACAGCATTTTGCTTCTTCCTTTTATACGGTGCTCATCCATACACAACTCTCGGCATTAAAAAATATTCGCCAACTAAGTTAACGGTCTGAAGGCATCTATCTGTGATTTATGTCAGAAATTGTATAGCTGATAAATTTAAATCCATAAACTGGACAATCGTAGTCCAGATACAATCGTGCACACGCGAACGAAACAGTGAGTGCAAGATATTGCATTTTTAATCTAAAACTTGCAAATAGTGTACGGAATTTCACTGTAATGCACCGGTGTATTGTTCCACTAAAAATAGTGCACTGTGCACAACAACAACCTAAACAAACACACATTCCTGTAATAATGAGACAGAAAATGGCTACCATCATTTGTTTTATGGAATGTAATAATGTAACATACATTAAAATTGCTGTCAAACTTTTCATTTATTTTAAAGCAAAATGTTTTACATTACCCGGAATGTATTTCATCACTAAATGACGCACAGGATTTGTTAGCATGAGGTGGTATGAAGAGATGAATAAGTGTATCTTTAGTAGCAAAGCAACAAATGAACCTGTAAATCACGATATTGCCCTAATATCAGCTTTAGCAGAATTACTACTTCAAAATACGGTTTTTTCTAATCAATCCATTACTGTTTACCACCGTGAATGAATCTTAAACATGTTATACTCGGCAATATGAAAAGGATCTGATGTAAATTATATGATTTGAATGTATTATGAGGAATAAAAGCGTTACTTTTAATAGAGCAGTAAAATACATCATTTATATCTGTAGTTTACGAAAAACTCCGTACTGGAAGTTGCGAGTCACAAATCTGCTGTTAGCATCAGATGTGTTAACGAGCATCACCACGGATAATTCTTTTATCAACATCTTACAATGGTTCTTTGAAATTAACGTACATAAGAACCGTTCATGGATAATATACAATAAAGCCTGGACAAGTCATCAAAAGTTACGTTACACCAACTGTTCTTTGTCATTTTTTTCAAAACTAAATCTGATACCTCGAATCAATTTGATAAAAAAAGTACTAAATAGCGCTCAACATGGTACATGTTGGTGCAATGAGCCTGAAATATAAGTTGTATTACAGTTTTGGATAATCCGAACTACTCCAATAGTTAACAAACTGAATGTGACTTGTTATGCTGAAATAATGGCAGCAAAAATGAGTCGTTAAACTGTCAACATGAGAAATATATTTGTAGTGTACAAGCAATACCACTATTATCAGTACACTTCGAAAGCTACAAATATCCAAAACCCGAGTTAGATTTAGATAGAAAAAACTCCATTCACAAGAATACATGGTGGTATAACATGCATTTACTTCAAATCACGCTTAATACCTCGCTAAAACCACTATTAAAAAAACGAAACTACTCGATAATCAATCTCATCTGTTATTGTAGGAGATGTTAATTGCTAAAATTATTACTCTTGCATATCAACATTAAGATGCTCTTTTGAAGTAACAATCAAGGCTACTAAGCACATAGGACAATTTTATGTTCTTTCTTCTTTTTAATATCAAAAATTATATTCTGATCCATGATGAACTGCTATAAAGAATACAGAAATAATCCTTAATGAGAATGCTTATCCTACCCGCGGTCACCTTCAGAAAATGTTTTATCAATCGTTGGCTCGAAGAAGCTATTTTTGATGGCTGTCGTTTCATTGTCCCATAAACAAGGGAAGTGCATTAATAAAGCCAATAAAAATGTATTGTGTAAATGTCGGTTTTGTAGAAGCTATTTTAGTTTTTATTACGCGTTAAACTTTGCTGTGCTGTTCCATGTCCTTTGTGTTGTGTTTTGTTATCGTAGACTCCTCCAAGAATAATTCACGACAGAAGTAATACGGAAAGAAAGTAGATTTGGCTAGATAATTGATAATTTTGACGGAAAAGCTTTTCGTTTAATGCCAAGGAAAAGGGGCTGCATCTCCAATATAAACAATTGTTGTTCTAACTAAAGAAGGAATAGCACGGCTAAGCTGTTTATGCTATCTTTGGTAGAAATAAAAGTAGTAATTCGCGAATTAAACCATTTCAAGATCTAATAAAAGTTGTTATGCAGATTATCATTTTTTGGTGAAGTTTGCTTCGGGATGTATTTTTTATCCAAAAATCAAATCGTAGATTACACTTTTTTACATTTTACTCTTCAAAGTTGGTTGTAACGTTCTGTCTTAATAATCTACTGAACATGTTTATCCATTCATTCGCTTTTGATCTTCCTTCAGCTATCATTATTGTCTGTTCACATCTATTTTTTTGTTACGCTTTTATAGTAAGAATTAAGAAATTTATTTTTGATTGAAATCGTGTCATCTTATTTATATTTCAGTAATTGACATGAACATACCTACAATACTACTTAACACAGAATCTAGCATATTTCGCTTATTTATGATGATTTCGCGCTACATAATTGCTTAATATCAATCATTGCTCACTATTTGTACAGAACAGAATATTTAAGTCACAAATTGCGAAGCGCACTTCTGGAATATCGTTGTTCAATATATCTGTACTTGAACATGGCCCGCTCTTTTTAGAAGCATCAATTTTATTTTAATTTACTATTTTTGGAGACAGTTACCAACAACCCAAATAATCATTCATAGCATGTCAAACAGTGCTATCTTTTTGTGTTATGCATCTGCTTCCGTGGACTATAAAATAATATGCTGGTTTTTTGAGAACTTTTGCGAGTTGATCATTTAGATAGCCTCGCATGGGCTCGTGAACATTTATTTCCGAACAGACTACATTAATCCACATCAAGAACTTGTTTTTGTTTGCTTATTGTCTCCTTGTAAGCTATTATTTGCAGATGTGGTTTTTTCTTGTTCATATCTTCAAATAATTTTGATGCAGATTATAATGTAATTGCAGTGCCGGTATTATTTCTTGCATATAATTCAAGTAAATCAATTTAGTATTCACTTAAGTATAAAAACAATAATGTCATTATTTCTAGTATCAGTTTTTGAGAATAAAATTGCTTTTTTGCGATAGTTTTCTTTTTTAGTTGTATATACCGAAAACGGCTTAGTTCAAATTTGGAAGAATATTTTGTATATATGGAACATTGCCGCACCCCTAATTATGTTCTTTCTTTTACTTTCGATACCATTACTGATGAGATTCGGCAATTTATCCGCTACAGCTGTTAGTAACATGCATCTTCGTGATGACATCAACTTAAGCAACGTGAATCAAAGACATGCGCGTCTAATTGGTCGGGATCGCGCTGTGTTCAAGTACGTCGCAGAAGGAGAAGAGGAGGCCTCTAGTGATTGCATATTGCTAAAAATTAACTCGCTCAAAAGCGTTAGTTATTTGAAAGGTTGGGCGGATTTGTGGGCTGCATTTAATAACTATTTGCACGAACAACGCGCTCTATCTATAAGCTTTAACGCATTTATTGAACAGAATAAGCTAAATATTGAAAAATTTAGTCGAGATCTTAGAAAAAATGGGATTCTTATTAATAAATCAGTGTCGGAAGAGACATTTGAAAAATTAGAACCAATCGACAGTGGAATTAGCACTGGGGAAGTATCAAGCACAGGAGGAAGCACGAACACTTCGATGACGGATATAAATTTGAAAACTTCTGGTGGCAAACCAGCAACGCCCGCTGAATTTAAGTCCTTTCGTTCGCGAATACCGGTCCCAAAGAGCGGTTTTTCACCACGAACATCCACTCCTTGTATCAAAAACGCGCGATTCCCTGCAACACCACCGGTTAGTCCAGTTTCTAGAACAGAAAAATACTCAAGACGTGCAGAGCATCCAGCGAATAACTTAAGCCATTTTCGTATGCTAAAGCAAAAAATTGAATTTGTTTTAAAATCTCTTCAGACTCAAAAGAAGCGTTCAACAGATGAGCACACAAGACGTAGCTCGCTCAGCGATGATAGCACGACCGATAACTCACATCGTCAAAATTCTGATTCTAATGTATCATCTAGACGGTTGTCACTGCCTACCCCAATAAACAACAATCAGAATGTTGCAATATTATATGATCATTTAGAATCGATAAAAAAAGCTTTGAAATCTGCCATCGCGGATTTTGAAGGCATTATCGCATCTTTAAGTGGTTAATACTGTCGTTGGATAAATGGGTCTTTCTTGGGATTTATTGCGAAAATATGTTTAGCATATCTGACATAAATCTAGAGATGGTAGATCTCATGACCGAATTGGCAACAATAAATGATTAAATATGAGTTAATAAGTTCATTCACTTTGATTTTCCTGTATTTTAGTTCGTTAGTTACGTAATCAGCTTTCCAATTCTCTGCTTTTCAAATATGTTTTTATGTTGGGATAGTAACGTAAAAGGACCATCTCCTGTAGGCGAGTCCGCTGAGGCCACTTAAAGGATGAACAATCGGTGCTACATATGCCTAAAACACTTGAACTGCAGATAATATGTCAAACTAGCTCAAAAAGGCTTGTTAAAGAAACTTTTGTGAAAAGGAACTTTTACTTGAATATTACCAAGTAGATGAAAACACCGACTGCTAGGCAAATGGCACAACCCACAACAAAGAACACAACGAGCCCATAATTTCTTTTGGAGGAGGGTTTTAAGTCCTTTTTTGGATTGTCAGCTTGTGGAGATTTATTACCATCAGCTTTTGATGATTCATTTTTCGCAGTATCATTTTTAACGGCTCTGCTCCGATCTTGCTGCCTGCCATTGCCAGTTGGCCGATGGTAATTGTGCTCATCTTTGGGTACATCACTTCGAGCTTTGTCGGCATAGACAGGCATAAGCGCGAGGGATCTATCATGCGGCTCGTCGCTTGTCGTTTTCAAAGGCTTATTTTGTTGCTCCTCAGTTTTATTGATGGCAAAACTACCCAATGGTGGTAGTCTTCTCTCGTTCTTGACAGGCAAGCTATTATCCGGTCTTGGGGACTTCGCAGCATCAGATGTATCTTGCACAACCGGTTGACGTGATTGATCATTTTCTGCAGTGCCATGTTTATCACTTGTTCCAAAGCTTTCAGTGGTCGAATGAAATTCTTCGTTCGAATCCGAATCCTGCCTATTGTCACCGTTGCTATTTGCCGGTACTTTCGAAGCGTTTGCGTCTTCAATTCCTTGATTATTTGACCGGGACCTATTCAATGCTTCGGATTCTTCGATTTTTTTTTTTTGTTCTACGAAGTTTATCATTCAGCTCTTCCCAAAACTCCTCACGATTCTGCCTTTCTGTCTTGCTATTGCTTAGTCTGGCGAGCAGCTTCTTTGTTTTAGCTGCACTCTTGTCCTGCATAGAGGCTTTAGACTGGCCAACCTCAGCAACTTCATCTTTTTCACCCTTAGCATGCGTACTTGGAACAGAATTGTTCGGCACAACTTGTGTTGATCTTGTGATATTGGCTGCATTCTCGTTCGGATTTGATTTTTGTTCCTCAAGCCCGTCTCTCTCGGAGTTGGCCGATGGTTTAGTGCTTAATGCTTCTTTTTTCTGTTTACTGCCTTCCAATTCTTTTTTTCTTGCGTCTTCAGCGATTTTGGACATCTTATGGCTTGTTTGTCCTTTTGCTTTGCCACTATCACTTTTCTTTACCACTTCTGGCAATATTTTCACGAAATCCTGATTATTCCACAACTCTCTTGCTTTATCGCTCAGCTCCTTGACATAACGCTCGACATAACTCAAATAAAGCAGTAACATCTTAGGATACGACTCATCTATCGCTTTAATGTGGGTAGTTTCCGCTTCCGCTTCAAATTCACTTAAAACTTGACTTATCGCCTGCTTACTTGGTGCGACGTGGCACTCGGTGATGAAAGAAAAAAGCGGTTCTAAATTTAAAACATCTTGAGGGACGACATCTTTCAAGGGTTGAAAACTGAAATTAGTCGCAATAGACCTTTGGAACTCATTGATGTAACGGCGAGCTTCTTCAATGTCATCCAAAATCGAACTACACAACTCTCTGTTAGACATCCTCTCGTAAACAAAGTTTTCATCCTTTATTTCTGCAAGAAGGTTTGCCGGTATATCGTGAAAATCAATGAAGTGATTGCAGCAATTTCGCAGGAAGAGGGTATTACTCGCCAGTGCCAAAATTCCACGGTGCAAACAATCTGCATATCCAGAGGGCGCAAGTTTTGCTGCTCGCGACATACAGATTTCATTTTCTGCATTATCTTGGTGAGCACCATCTGTCCAATCCTCGCTTTCCCGGTCTACGTTGCCACTTCCTTCAGCAATCGCCATATCCGGATTTGCAGGGGAGTCTATATCTGCATTACTGGGAGCAGCATTCACACTACTCACCAGGCCTGCTGTGTCTTCGTTACCGGATCCAGCTACGGAAGATATAGGTGGCTGTGCTGTGCACATCCCCACGAGTCCAGGAGTAATCCCGCTCGAAAAAATCCTGGAAAAACCGAAAAGGCCTGTAGCAAAATTTCTAAACATTTGCAAATACATAACCATCATCCGTACAACGTTCTTATATACTTTTATTTTATTCTTTAAAACATTGACAGTTACCAAAAAAATATACTTTTAACCTTTTTTTGGATAAAGGACCACCACAGTGTCACAATCAGATTAACAAAGAAAATACGTTTTGATGCAATAATTCTTCCAATTACATATAATAACTGCATTTCAATTCAGCAGCTCTGTTAGTGTAAAATGGTTTGTACTGCTTGTTCCTATCATCGGTTATGTATTCGGCCATAGCTTATCTCGTAAAATTTTATATTTTCTAATTAGTTATGATGTGATATCAATACAGACACAAAGTTACGCTTAAATGCTTTTAGTAAGTATAAAGGAACCGTAATGACAGCTATACCGGATGTGTTATGACAGTGTTACCATGTAAAAAGCTAGATTTAAGAACTGTACGCCTCGTTGTATACAATTAGTACATTGAAAAGGGGAAACGTTTTGATATGTTTGACGGAAAAATTTTTTAAGAAACTTGGCATACACGAAGACAACAATCTGACTATCTGACATGATATTTTGATTTAGTGTTTGAAAATCGTTATAAATCACACAATTCAGAACACTGAATTGATAAGCATGATCAGACAGATGCTGGAAATTAACACAAATTTTGAAATGACATTTGTTCAATGTCTATCGGGAAAAAGCACGTAGTAACATGTAATTGCCCTTGTCGCACCGAGTTTTATAGAAAAGCATGTAAAATGGAAATCGATTGCCCTCCATGTTCTATAAAAAAGATAAGCATTCAAGTGATGATCAAAAAATAATCTTGATAGTTCAGAAGGATTAGGGCAATCATCGAACAGGCCATAAATTGGCAACCATGGACACAGTAATTTGCAACAACCCTGCAGCACCACCATGTTATCCATTCTAACGATGAGGTATTGCAAAATACTCAACGTATTTTTAATCGCCACTTATAGATCCAGGTGGTGAACATGACTGGCTTGGACACAAGATCCTTTCGCTATACTTAGCCCCTCCCATGCATTCTCTGAACGTGACTCTATACGATTCGCAGAAAGATTTCATAGAAAAGGCTCAAAGAACGATCGAAAACAACCAAGTAGCAATATTCTCTTCGCCTACGGGTACCGGAAAAACACTAAGTCTTCTTCTATCGATAGTGCCGTATATCGAGAAACATGTCATCAGCGATTTTTCTGGTGTGAGTAGTGCTAACAGGGCGTTGATAAATGAACTAAATTTCAACGACACACCGATCTATTACTGTTCACGGACACATTCACAGCTGAACCAGGCAATCAACGAACTTAAAAAGCTGAAAATCGCCTGTAACGCGGTTGTTCTCGGCTCGAGAATGCTTTACTGTAAGCACACGAGTGTGAATTCCTTAGATAACTTGGAAATGATGAATGAACGATGCAAGGAACTTCGAGAAAAGGATAAATGCGAATACTTTCTGAATTTGAACGGTGATCTTGATACCATACGATCTGAACTTGATGGTTACATCCTGTCCAATGGTGCTACACAAACCACATCGAACAAAGAAAGTTATCTCAAAACTGGAACTCTTAGCAAAGCGATGCTTAAATTAGAGAATAAAGCTGGTTTTTCGTCAAAAAAACTTGGAAACGAAATAAACGCTTCTGGTCTCTTCAGCAAACAGACTGTTCCCGTAAATGGGCTTGGATCCGAGACTAATGGTCGGTACAGCGCATTCACAAATAACAACAAGGACAGCACAAGTATGTACAAAGCAGCCACGCATTCTGGTGCTATTTCATTTGTGAATGAAGGAATATACGATATTGAAGATTTAAAAAGCAGTAGTTGTAATTTTTGTCCATACTACAAGTCGAAAGAGCTGTCCAAGTCAGCCTCTATCAAATTCCTCCCGTACCAAATGCTGTTCAGTAAAGATGCACGGGATAGCTTCAAATTGCAAATCAAAGACTCGATTATCATCATTGATGAGGCTCATAACATTTATGAAAGCGTAATACAAATGAATAGTGTGTCAGTAAGCTATCACCTCATAAAAAAGTACATAAAAGCGTTCTCGAAGTATAGAGCGAGATTTTCACAAAAGTGTGATGCAACACAAGTTCCTTCGCTTGATAATTGCCGTGCCAATGGATTCACTCAGGGTAAGGTGATTGCTGATGCATTTCTAGATATCCTAGGACACCTGGACAATTTCTGTGAATGTAATAAAAACCAGGCGCTCACAGAAGAAAAGTGCCTGAGAGTAAACGATTTTTTGGTCAAAAGTCATCTTCAAAACTACAACATGTTCAGACTCAAGGAGTATATGAGAAGTACAAGCTTGACACAAAAACTCGAAGGATATGAAAAAGATCTACACTTTGGACTTTATACAATTGTTAACTTTCTAGTGTTGTTGACGAACAGCGACAGTAATGGATTGATTCTGTACGATATGAGCAAAATTCGGTTCACGCCCTTAGATCCCAAACTTTATTTTGAGGATGTTCTAGAATGCAAATCGCTCATACTGGCAGGCGGAACTATGGAACCATTAAATAATTTGCTTTGCATTTTGAAGAATGCGAGTGTGTTTTCATATGGGAGCATTTGCAAGAACTTTGCGGCGTATCTTTTGGCAGACGGGCCGTCGGGAAAAAAACTGCGGCTGACCTATGAGCACAGGGAAAACAGCCAAACGTTAAATGAACTGTTCAACACAATCAATAATCTCATCAATAACGCTCGTAGTGCGCTACAAAAACGGAGTACTTATGGTGGAATTATTTGTTTCCTTCCATCCAAAAATTTTTTGAAAATAGTGAGAGAAAGGTTCGATTCCAAGTGCAACAGTGACGTTTCGTATGTATTTGAGGACCTGAAACAGTTTACTAAGGAATGCAGCACCAAAACTACAGTGCTATTTGCAGTTATGGGAGGGCGATTAAGTGAAGGCATCAACTTCAGCGACCATTTTTGTAGATTATTGATCATTGTTGGCATTCCTTTTCCATCGATGAATGTTGAAATCAAGGAAAGGATAAAATTTCATGGAAGAGATTATACAACCATCATAGCACTTAAGACGGTAAATCAAGCACTCGGAAGAGCGCTGAGACACAAACATGATCATTCCGGTATCGTGTTGATCGATGAAAGATACGACAAACTGCAATATTTGCTCTCTCCGTGGATAAGGGAAAAGATTAGAAAAGTAAAGTTTGGTGAGCTGTTTAAGGAGCTCCATTTTTTTCTTAGAACGTGCCAATAGCTATGAAATTATCACGCAACCTACGATGAGATGATACACATAGTGCCAAATATGATACTTGGTACCACACCCCCCAGACAGCTGTACCTTGTTCAGTGCTCCACTTACAGGCTCAAATCGAACATAGACAATAATAAATTTTATTTATTGCCATAATATCACCGCTTCTCCTCTGTTTGTACCCTAACAACACTTTTTACAGCCGTTAAATACCATCCAGCAAGAATTTTAGTCAGCGGCACAACCAAGTTTATTAGCTGATTTATTGCAACACGCTATATTCCATGATCCGTCCGTTTTTACAATCGTTACTGCTATGTATGCTCTAACATACCACATAAAATTTTTCTTAAAACTCCGGAGGTGGGCAGTTCTAAAACCTTTTCTCCCACTTCTCTAACAAGTTCACATACATGCAACTGCACAATTTTGAACGACATCTCGTCCAAGACGGGATTCGTGCTAAAAAAGCACTCATACACATTTATTATCTCTACATACTCTGATGCATATTTTCGCTTGGAGTTGCGCCATATAAGCTTGAGTATTATTTCTTTGTTAACATTAAGTATATTTAGGTACACTTTGATGAGCAATGGTACAGGCGCATTCAAACAAAGGTTAATGAGAATGTCACCACCTTTGTCTTGGATGTCCTTAATTATCTCTGAGTGCAACATCTTCAATGTCATGTAATCCAGCTCTGATAGGAAACTTTTGTCCGACGATAGAAGCATCAAAATGTCAATCGCAATTTTCTCGTCCAAATTGCTGACCAGTCCCGTTACCAGCGAATTAGCAACATAGAAAAGAGAGGCTATATCATTTTTTGCTCGTTCATATATAGTTTGGAGAACACTTTTGTCTTTTTTGTTCAAGTCACTGATCAAACAGTCATTTTGTGTGGTGGTTGAAAGCCTTTTCTCAAAGCTCTTTCTGAAAAGTTCATACTTCTGGAACGAACGAGGAGAGCTTTCCAACGAGCGTTTTCTAGTTGACAGCGCGGGGGACCCCACGCCGTCTTTTCGGATCGGTGAATCGTTGAGCGAACCATCAATATTCAATGAGTCATTGAAAGATTTATCCGTAATTGTGTAATAGCTGTTCCCTTCCTTTTTGTCAAATTTCTCCGAGCTAAGCTTTCTACTACGAATAACCTCATTATGAAGCGAAAATGTTGGCACCCCCTGTATGTGCGTGTCGTTCTTAATACTCAATCTCCCTATTTTTATGTTCCCATCTGCCATGATTCTATTCTTCTTTGTCAGAGGCGACATGTTATACTCCCTCATTCTAAAAGATCGCCCAATGTGGTTCTTAAAATTACTCATCTCATTTTTCAGCATCATTATTTTAGTCTTTGGGTATATTCTTTCCATCGTTCGCAACAATTTTTCATCCTTGATCATTTGCACCAATTTCTCAGCCTCATATGAGCTTAAAACATAGTTACATGCAGTGAAGTATGAAATAAGCTCTCTTAAACAGCAATCAGTACTCTCCTTTCTTCCACACAAGCACTCCTTTTCTTCAAAAATATGTTTTATGATAAAATCACTTGCTTCGATCCTCCTCGCCTCAAATAATGTTTTTATATCTTCTGTAAAATAATTTTCAAAATCTTTTCCATCCTTTTTCCTTTGCGAATATTGTACGAACGGTTGAAAATTCTGTATATGAAATTCTCCCTCCTCATGATTGCCTGATAAACTCCCTGGATCATTAGATACATCTTTTTGCTCAACTTTTACTTCAGGTGCACCCGTTGCCACTGAATTTATAGACTTATCGTTTTCTACGACAGCGTACTCGATCTTTTGCTCATCCAAATGCTCATTGACAACATCCTTCTTTTCTGTTTCTCTGATTTTCGCTTCTCTAAAACGCTGTTTTTGTCTATTTTCTCGAATTATATGATTATTTCGACCGATCGCGTCTCTCAATTCGGCCAATAACTGCTTTTCTTTTCCCATATATCTGCTACTGTCAAAGAGCTCTAAATCTACGGAGCAGTTCTTGATTATTCCCCTCAAAATTTTGACTGCACACTCAAAAAGCTTTCCCTTTTTGTGCTTCCTGATGAACGCCAAGAAATACAATATTGTCTTTTTCTCATCACATGTCTGTAGGATAGTTAGGAGTTGTTCGAAGATTCGGTCGTCGGTAAACGTTCTAACGAATGTTTCACAAAGCAAAAATACATCAATGCCCGATTGTTCGCTCAATATACGAAGAAATTGCAAATTTATGACTTTGTTGTGCTCTTTAACTGAATACACGTATGAAAGTAAATCTTGCTCGTGAACCAAACGCTCTTCATCTTTCATCATCATTTCCAGTTTGTTCTTATAGTCCTTCTCACTAGTGAACGCATATCTTTTTGTAAAACGCAGTATCACATTTTGCTGCTCTTGTGTAGTCGGCAGTTTGTAATTCTTGTTTTGTTCACAGTCGATCCTTGTAATATCTTCTACCATATCCTCTTGCAAACCCGTTTTGGCAGAAACTGTTATCGGCTTGACAGGGGAGTTGGGTGCAGTTTTCGCAATGCCAGAACCATGCGCAATGATTGTTAACGGTTCCACCGACGTCTTATCGATTGCTGCATTCAAATTTGTTGTGTTGGTATTTTGTTCGTTGCCGGTTTTGACCTTTCCCTCACAAAAATCGGCATACTCGCACACAGCATCTCTCAGATCCTTCCTGGCACTGCCACTGAACTGATTGACCACTGTCTTAAATTCTTTGTTTTTCTGGTAGAGCAGAATCTCAATCATCATTTTGAGGACTTCGGGATTCTTCTGTGTACTAAAATCCTCCTTAGAAACTTCAATTACATTCGCTTCCTTAATTCTTTCTTGTAACTTCTTGTCAGCAAGTTTTTGCAGCAACACTTCCTTCTCAAATGCCAGATGCTGGTCTTTTACTAGATTTAAAGCCAGCAAAAATACCATGTTATTGGGATCCCTTAGCCGTCTAGTAATCTCTTTGGTAAGTGTATATAGATCATATGTGCTATTTTGAAGTTGTTGCAGAGCGTCTAACCGAATTTTCCAGCTCTTATCTTCAAGGTTTTCCATAAATGCTCTAAGTTTATCATCGGGAATTTTGTCTCTTGGTATTTCAGATTCTATTACGCGTTCCTCTTCTTTCTTTATATTCCGGTTTAACGCCTTATCAACTTCACACCCAAACGAGCTGTCTGTACTTGTCACGACACGGTGTGTTTTCTGCGTGTTTGACTCGCTAATGTTGTTTATAACTTCTCTTTTTTCGCTCGCACTTGTTCCTTCCATTATCTCTTTCTTAATGATAGGTTTTAAGTCGGACAAGTCCACGGTCTTGTCCCGACCATAGAAAATCTGCATCATTGCAACGCTGCATTTTCTAATACTGGCATCAGCGTTTGAAAGTGTTTTTTTGATAGTTTCTATTTGTTCAGGTGTGGGAAGCCCCTGAACATTGTAATATTCTATCAAATATAACAACAAACACTGAACAAACCTGGGATTTTTGTCCTCAAGCAAACCAAAGAGCAGTTGAATGTCTAATTGCTTCTTTTTGCAGTTGAGGTAATCCACAACTTTCGGTTTTAGCTTCGGGGTTTTGAAATTTTGGATAACAAAAACCGCAATGTCAGCCGTGTAGGGCAATACCTTGAAAGAGGGAATGAGTTGTTCGAGAACGACAACATTCTTTTCTTTCAATAACGTAGGTATGAGATTGGAATAACTCGACTTATCTGCAATCCAGCTCTTTTCTAAGTTGGATATTGCATGTGCCCGTTCTTTACACGATTTAGAGAGAATTTCGTCTTCCAAAGACATTTCCTAGGGGTTTACGAAAAACTTCATTTGAACAAAGCAGCATATGCTAGGTTTGAAAATTAATGGCAAATTAAGAGCAATAGAAACAGAATGTAGCATCAAATAGTATGTAAATGGTAAATCAAACATATTTTAAAGCATTTTCTTCACATAATTCAGGTACCAATATTTGAACGAACACCATCAAAAACTTTTAATTTACGAGCAAAATTACAATTATGTGACTGTATTGTCTCTATTTAGTAGTGCGAAAAATATCTGCTATTTAAATTGGTGTTAACAGGACGGAGTCATCAATTCCATGGTGAAGATGATCACCTTATGTGATAATTAGTACAGTTTAATAGTTAATTCTAATCAAATGATGGTACGAAATGTCCAAAATGTTTCATTGAACAGAATGGCTGTGGTCCAAAAACGAACCAGAGCGGTAATTTTTGCGGTTATCATGTATTGAGGTATTCATTTCTGAGCAACTTTTCTGCTGTTATCCTTCCTTCAGCCTCATAAACAAAAAATTGCTCCAAAAATTGAATTTGCTGCTCATCGAGACACTTTTTCCTCAATATATTGCTAAATTCGTAATTATGATGGTCCATTCGTTTTAAATAGAGTAAATTAGGCGCAATTAATGTGGACGGAAATCCGAATGTTGAGAATATCTTATCCAGCATTTGAATCTCTGTATTCTCGCTAAACAATAGCGTGTCGCAAATAAGTTCATATGCTATGCATCCCAAGCTCCAAATATCAATTTCTGCACCATAGCTCTTCTTGTCGAGCAATAATTCTGGCGCTCGATACCATAGCGTGGTTGCAGTGCTGATCATCTGCTTAGAGATATATCTCGAAACACCAAAATCCGCAATTTTTACTGCATTGTCAATGTAAAGAATATTGGAAACCTTTAGATCACCGTGTAATATTTTCTTGGAGTGCATGTACGAAAGCGCACTGGATATTTGCAACAACCAGTTCTTATGTTCCATTTTCGTTTGATTTTTCCTGTCTCTCACCATGCTTGCCAGATCGTATGGCGCGTACTCTAGGACAAGATAAATTTGTGAGTCTTTACCGATCGCTACATCATGCAGTTTGACAATATTCGGGTGTTTTAGCTCCTTGAGCATGTTGATCTCATTTTCCAGGCTTTTCCTCGTTTCATCTGAACTGGTAGATATCTGCTTGTATGGTTTCTTTATTGCATATAGCCTGCATTTCCTTACCGCTAGGTAAACAGTAGCGAATGAGCCGGAATTTATCTTCTTCTTGACCACATATTGCGATATTTCTGATGTTTGCAATGTTTTAAAGAATGACATAGGGTAGAACGACTTTCTCTCGGATATGTCTGGGCTAGAAAATATCTCAAACGCTTATAAATGGCGGGTATACAGTATGCTATGGATGAAGAACGCACGAAAATAAAACATTGAGAACATAATACTCGAGCAAAAGGTTAAATACATTGGTAACATCTCATGATGTTCCAAATGGCTTGTTAGGTATTTGTACGATCTAAGCAAGCCACATATCGTTTGAAAACTGGCGTTATTGTGGTCAAATGAGGTAGTGTTACTCAAATATATGATGAGATCGAAGATTACGCTCAGCGTGCTGTTCGAAACAATCTTCCAGAAAGCAACTACTGACATATATAGCAATTTAAATAACCTTCAACAAAAATTTTATTAAAATACTGCTTTCGAGCTGGTGCTGACACAAATTAATTCTTGCACCCAATCACAGAAATAGGACTTTTCATAGCATATTACACGTTCATTCCTATTGCAGCCAGCTGTGATGCACATTTTTACCGTTCAAAACATCTATATTGTCGTAAGCCATCTCATTAGAAAACCCCTCAGCACCAAATATCCTGGATACACCCTCAAAATCAACAATAAAAAGTTCACAACATTTGTCCTTAACGATCTGGTCCAAGTTCCTGTGATTAAATTTGGCAATTTCGCTCCGTTCCATTCCCTCAAAAAAAGACGAACTATATACTGAGTTCACGTTCGATGCTTCATCGTTGCAAAAATATATGTCTCCATCTTCAAATGATGAATCTTCATACTCCAGCAGGGCATCGTCGTACATCTTGTCGTCATCATCCAGGTGATTCCATAGCTTTTCTTTTATCTCACACTCACTATTTTTTATCTCAATATTTAGATAGTACTGCAGGTCGCTGATAACCTTTCTTAATAGCCTACCCATTGTGGTGTAAATAGTTTCTGACTTTGAATAATGGTATGTGAATCTGTTTTTTGTGATTTTTATAACACTGTCGCTATTCAAAAACACAAAATTGTCCAGGTCATTATCATTTCTTATCTCGTATCGTATATCGATGCCTCTATTGCTTTCTGAATTGAGTTTTTCTTTAATCATGAACTCATTAGCACTGCAACCCACACATGATAGGAATGAGAACGGCGTATCCTCCATTAGATTATCAATTATGTGATTGTCGTTTATCCCTGTGTGGCATTTCCAGCATATTTTTCTGTCGAAGTCGTGCATCACTTCCCTGCTGTTCCTCGTAAATGTTAAACTTAATTACATCAATTGAAATATTAAAGGAGAATGTCTTCATAAGGGTCAACATGCTGTAATTAGTAATTTGTTATGTGCCCAATGGGATATCATCGGTGAGCGAATCGCTGAAGATTCATCCACTTGGTGGTTGAATGAATAATCACCATTGTTAAATTCAACAATAGCTTTTTTACCAAATACAGAGTACTACAACAGCAAAATGCCCGAAACTTCTCGTATCTGATCCTGTAACGCAACTGTGATTGACAAATTTAATTAAAATGGTCCTTTTAATTATCAAATTTTTGTTTAAGAGGCATAATTTTTTGAAGTTGACGTGAAGGAACACCATGAAGCGAGTTAGTTCCGGAGAACCAAGGATGCATGTTTGGTGATCCTAAAAAATATTTCGCTGCGCAATAAATAAATGCGTTAAACACTTGCCAAATGAGAAATGGAGGGTAATATTTACAAAATAATTATTGTTTTATAATACGTATCCTAAAATATAGTAATCCTGATCGGTAATAATAAACCGGTGCTACTCTCTATATTGTAAATGTGAATTTGAAACGGATAAATAACTACGTGTCATGTGACCCCTTTTACTTACAGCGTTGTAATTCTCGTCTCAGAACATGAAATGACACTTGTCGCTTTTTTTGTCGACTTATGAAATCTAAAATCACAAACCATCTGTGGTTTAAAGAAACCATTGGTGTTATAAAAGGAGGCACCTTCATCCACAAAAAAATCGGCTCCCCTGATGTACATTATAGGAATCACAGGAAACATAGCGACAGGAAAATCTCTTGTAGGTTCGCTTCTGAGGCAGAAGGGTTATCGTGTAATAGATGTAGACAAGGTTGCAAGAGAGGTGTTGGAGTGCAACAAGGAATTGTTGTGTAAAAAATTTCCAGAACTGTGCGTTAATAACAAATTTAGTAAGGCAAAGCTCAGGGAAATAGTTTTCAAGAAAGAAAAGAACAAAAGAGCGATTGAGCGAATACTACACTGTAGAATAATCTTTAAAACGTTTTTCATGGTATTAGTAGAAGCCTTTAAGTTCAGAGATGTTATTTTCCTGGAAATACCATTGTTTTTCGAGTACAACCTGGATCGATTCTTCGACAGTGTTGTGGTCTATTGCGATAAAAATATACAGGCAGAACGAATAATTGGGCGTGATGGTGACGATTTGTTAAATGAAAAACTCAAAGCACAAAAGAGTCTCGATGAAAAGAAGAAACGAGGAACGTTCCTTATTAACAACAATGGAACTGTGGAATATACGAAGATTCAGATCGCTAATCTTAAATTCAGTGGACGCACAATTTACTTTTATATTATCATTGTTATTTTGGTGTATCATCTGACGAGGTATTTACTGAAAAATCTACTCGGATAAAAGTACAATAAATAAATCGTGGTCTAACGTTATTGTATAGTGCCGTTCAAAAGGATTCGACATATAAACAAATTATAAGTTTTGATATGGTATTGAGGCCATGAACGCAAAGTTTGTTAATCAAAGCTAACGTACACTTTATTTAGCAGAGATGGATATTATTCTACGAAAGATCATGGATTTCATCACATTCATCTCTATTGTGTCTTGTTTAGTATGAATTATAAGAGATTCTTAAAATGATTAAATAACTTGTGCGAACTTGTTTGAACGGATGTTCTGCTTGTTTTACGAAAATATGCGCTAAATTTTCACCAACTTTGTTCAGAGCCGGGTCGTTGTTAAAGACTGAAATTTTAAGAAATACCACAACCGTCAAAAATTTTTGATGAAATATTCCGAGTATACGAAGCATACGCTGTTAAAACATGTTCCGTTCCATAGGAGGGTACCGAATACTACTTTTATCGTGGATTATTATAAGTTATTGGTTTCAGACACAAGTCATACGTTTCTTACTCATTTTCATGCAGATCATTATTATGGACTTAGAAAATCTTTCAACAAGAACATATTTTGTTCTGTTACTACCGCTAACTTGGTCAAGCTGAACATAAAAGTTGACGTGAAGTATATCAAAGAAATGGCAATGAATAGAGTTTACCGAGTTGATGATGTTGATGTGATGTGTTTTGAGGCTAATCACTGTCCCGGAGCGGTTGGTTTTATTTTTTGCGTACAAAATTTTTATTATCTGCACACCGGTGATTTTAGATTTAATATTGATGTACACGGCAATCTGCACAACCTAATTAGTGTTATGAGACCCAATGATGATGCTAAATGCTTTGACACGGTCTTCTACGACAACACATACGAAAATTACATGCATTTCGATTCCCAGGAAGAAGTGATTTGCAGCGTTATAAGAGACATTTTAGCACAAGCCACATCTAAGAGTGTCTTGGCACCAGTACAGACAAAATATGTCTTTCCGTCGTATTCAATAGGGAAGGAGAAGTTGTTTCTGTGTGTGGCCTATTATTTCAACTGGGAGGTAAACGTGAACACAAAGAAGAATGCAAATATGCAGTGTTACAGCGCATATACCAGAGAGCAGATCAATAAGTCTGTCATGGACTGCTGCAAAAGAATCAGAGAGAGGCTAGGGCATTCGTCTAGAATTTTTCCGGTGTTTACGAAGGCATATGTGCAGACAATCAAAGATCCAGAAACGGAGCCACTTCTGTGCGTTAAAACGAATATAAATGATGCTATCATGGAGGTGATACCATTTAATTACGTAAATCGTGTAAAACTTGGCATCTTATACAGCAAAACAAGGTTTAAAAAAGTAGTCGTTATCTGTGGAACAGGATGGAAAAAAGCAAAGAAAAGTTTCAATTTGACCAGACAGAATGGAACTGTAGTTAAGAATGGATTAGAAGTTCGTTACTATCCTTATTCGGAACATAGCTCAAATGCTGAGTTGCAAAAATTCTGCGAATCCGTAAGTTATAAGACAATTACGCCCACCGTGAAACGGTAATTTGAGACGACAACATCAAATCGAAACTTCTTCGAAGAACTTTCAAAATATCTGAGATCACCTATTGACTAATAATTGTACATGATGAACGGCTAAACATTGTCGTATTTGTGTTTTTCTTCACGTGGCAAACTCTTATGATTTTGTACTTAACGCGTCAAGTTCTTAATAAAATAGATGACCGACAATCGATACATTTTCAGGATATGAACATTGATAATACGTCTGTGATGGGCAATCCTCGGATTTAGATGTGTACTGTTCGGCTTCCACCTATTAACGAATCGCATGTAGATTTATTTCCAAGAATTGATTTATACCGAGCAGAACATAACAATAGATAGCACGTATAAGCATGCGTATATCGAAATCATTAATTTTACTATAACGATAATTCTATCGACAGTCATTCGTTTCTGGTGTGGTGTAAAGCAACCATTGGAATGGCTATTTGTTGTTGAAGGCGTTAGTTCGTAATTATAAAGCACGAGTTGCATTTATAATTGTGTGAAACATTATTATAATCCATGTCTACGGGTTCCTTAAGAAAATTGCAGGTTATGAGTTTATGATCATCCCGTCAATCCGACATGCCTTTCGATGCTACATTAATATATTTAAATGCGATAACACAGAGCTCATCTACTGTTATTGTAAGTAAACTTGTTTTTACGTTCTGAGCTTCGGATATTTGTTCTGCATCGTGTTGAATAGGCTTATAATATCCAACGAAGATTGAACTATAAAAGATTCTTGACGTGTCAGTGGATCAGAAAAATATGTTATCTGGGCGTTATGGTACGATGAAATAAATAAAAGTACCTGTTTGATGAAAAAAAGGTAAAATTGTACGAATAAAACTTGTTGAAACATACAATATCGTAGAAATATAGGTAACTAAATCGAAATTAATAAACAGGTAGCTTGTGCTAAGCAAAATAGGTTGACTCCTGTTTGATACGAGCACAAAGAATGCACTTGACATTGGTGTGATTGAAGTGTTCGGTTCAAAAACTCGGAGAAAAAGAGTAAATGGTAATTACGTAAATAAAAATGGAAAAAATCAAGCAATATAACACGAGAACATACCCGCGTACACGCCACATAATCACCTTCATATTACTAAAGATACTGCTACTCCACATCAATATTGAATAACGAATCTTCTTTGAGTAACAATCATGGTAGTGAATATGTTTTATGTTAACATTCATTTGACTCGACATCTTTATTAAATCTACTTCACAAATGGTAATTACATGGATTCGGATCTGTCTGTCCCCCTTCTCTGTTAGCTGCACCGGCAGGCTGACCAGGTACGTGTTGTGGCTCTGGGCTACTACTTGAAGATCCCATAACACAATACCATGATGCTCTCTTTTATAGTTTGGGACTTTTCTGTTTTGAAACATCTTTCTCTGAGAAATATGTTATAGAATTTCGTTCTGAAACTGATCTGTGATTACAAAGAGCAAAAAAAGATATACGAATGTTTCAGTTGCTCGTATTTTTGCAGACATATGATGATGAGCGTATTATTCTGGGCGTGAACTCATAACATCTTGGTAAACAATCAAGACTGTTCAAATTCCATAATACAACTAAATTTATTGTTAGCTGTGTATCACACAATAAGGAATTAATGGCACCAATCAGCGCTTTTGTGTGTTGTAAAGGCTTATATTTGGATTTACCTGCCTGCCTTACTATTCAACTGCACTCAACAGTCCATTAGATGCTTATTAGGGTTTTTGTTCCGGCTCACTAACGATGCTTCACTACACGGTATCTGATACAGTCTTTATACAACATTACATGTCATGTTTTGTTTGAAATCAATATCATACCGATTGCACTAAGTTTTAACCAACTATATGAACGGATCTTTGAGATCGGTTCTTCCAAGTGATGCTATACTCCAGTATTACTATAACATGGTGTTTCAGAATGTATAAATATCAGTATACATGCGGAAAGTGAAGCGATAATTAATATATCGAAATATGCATTTTAATAAAAATGAAACTATCGCTTTCAAAGTCATTCGTCAGTCTACTAACACTGTTCAAGATTATGACCCAATATTACCTGAGTCACTTCTGTTTTCTGGTAATTAGTAAGATAACTTGATTGGTATTCGTGCTTTTTAGTTATCTCCAATTTTTTTAACTTATCGATATAACTTATTTCGTTATAGGTATCTCTTACAAAATACTTTTTCGTTCAGCAGAAAGACTCAAGTTAAAAAAGATTCCCTGTTGTTGCTGCGAGATACGGTAGCAGTAAATAGTACATATAACACAAGGACGAGAATTTTAAGAATAATGATCTAGATTTCAACATGTACCGTGCGAACAGCAAAGTTCTGGGCATAAGCGGCTGTTTAAAGTGTTTTAAACGCGTCTTTCCTCATGGTTTAAGCGAAAAATTCGATAAAATTGCATGCATGATATTTAGACATAGATACTCAAACCGCACCGGGTAAAAGTACGTGTAAAGGGATAACAACACCTTCCATGGATCAGAGGTCAGTCCACGATCGATCCCGATGGTTCAGGAAAGTATGTCATTTTAATATGGAAAGATAAATAAATGGCTTCAATAAAAAATGAAAGAACACCGTCAAAGTTCCTATTACCAAAAATTCTCACCTAAACAATGTTTTATTTTTTACCCCGCTGCAGTTATTCATCCTTGTTATTTCGCTTTGCTACCCCCACCTTTTGCGCCCGTTTCTGGATTGTTTCCTTCTGGCTTGCTTGAACTTGATCCCATTATAAAATCTTTTATTTTACCTTTATATAGTTTTTTTATTAAATTCTATTTGTTTTCGTGTAAGCACCATTAAGAACATATGTCACTCTTTTTTCACCAATATGAAGCAGTCACTTCATTTTTTGTTGAGCACATCAAACTTATGTTGTAGCTGCCAATAGTCATTCACTAAAATCACTCGTCACTTACCAAAAATGCACTACAACACGTTGATCTGCCGTGGAATATGATGAAAAATAGTTGATTTACTCGTTTTTATTGGTGAACCTAATAAAACTGAGCAAAACACGAATAAATATGTCGAGAAACACAAAAGTATTAATTATCCAAAAAAGGAAATTGTGCACCAATAGCAAATTTTATAAGTTTATCAAATTTACGATTGGTTCTCTGCTTCATTGATTGTATGTGATGAATACCGATGCAGATATGTAAGTTGAACATGTCAAATGAACTTTTTGATCGATGAAATTTGAGCAACCATACGACCAACTCGAATATTTGTGCCCGTTGCGTAAATGCTACATTAATGGTAGCGTATGCTTTTCAGATAAAAACTAACTGTGCTATTCATTGAAAGTTATTTGTGGTGTACAGCGCAATAAATATTTTGTAGGGGCGGTCGAATGACTCATTCTTCGTTTCGTGATATGAACGAGTTTACCAAGTGGCGTCAAATCATTGAACACATGAATTATAAGAAATAGTTTGATAAATGATTGGAGTTGCATATGTGGGTGCATATCCAAGGATAGAATTGTATTCACCATTAAATCGGTACAATAGCAAGAGTGAAGGATTTTGTGCATCAAAATATGCAGTTGTGCGGAAACATACGAAACATTTTTGGCTGTGTACAATATTTTTGTGATTATATCTCTGTGATCGGTTAACCATCATCGGTCATTACGAGCGTGAAAATAACTTTATATTTTAATTAGCAGTGACTTTGTGCAGTATATATACCGGACAACGAGCATTTGAAAGCAGTATTTGCTGCCTAAACCATCTGTTTCTTGCGAAAGAACCATTTTGTGGTGCCCGCGTAGGTGATAGTTATAATTACATCAGCCGGTACGATTTTTCCTTGCGTACGATGGTGTATTGGCAGCAACATTGTTGGTTTTACCAGAGATGGCACGTTGCATACTATTCTGTGCTTGCGTTATTTGAGCGGAGTTCACCTCTCAATCTGCTTTTACAGTTTCTCCTCTTTCAGCTGATAGCTATCGTTGATGGTGGAAGACAGCTATGCGGCAGTTTTACCTCATATTAAACAAATGAAATGGAATATTATCGCAAGATGTTATGATATTACATGATTTTTATGGCATGTTGTGCACATCTATCGTTTCTAGTCACGTTATGTGTAAAAAACCGCATTAAATCTGCTTTTTATAGTAATTCAATCATTATATAGTGCAAATACGTGCTAAATTGTAAAATGATACACCTTCATTCGATATATTATCATTAAGGAGTCACATGCATCAGTCATTCTGATATAAATATGATTTGAAGCGAATCAAAGCGTTCTCTATCTTTCATTGTACAATACACGCGTTTTAGGATTTAGATGGTTTTACGAAATAGAGCATAGCGGATGAGTAATGCATTTTGCTAGTTATATCATATATTAGCAGTATGATATACTTAATTACTTTTTTCGTCTAAGATACGTTTACTTATTTTCTCATACTTTTCTTTTATATATTTAATTGCTCGTGGCTGTGGGTCATAAATGAGCACTTTACAATGATATTATACACGACTAGTTTACTTAAAGGATCTCAACTTTGCCAGGTTATCTAACAAAGTTCCCTTTTTCTCGCACAAGACCTCGTCAGTACCCTCTATCATGTCCATCCACATCACTACATTTCTTTCTCTCACTTTTTTGACCATCTCTTCCTCGGTAACATTCCAAGTGATGTTTATAAACAGCCAAATCAATGCCAAATTAATGTCACGGTCATTCATATTGATTGCCTCACCAAAGTCAAGATCTAATATGCAATATTTTTCTTTATTCGGCAGTATACACAAGTTTACCAGCGTATAAATTATGTTTAAGATGGTTTCTTTGTACAGAGACCCGCCATTTACAAAGAAATCATAGTGCTGCATCAATATATATACCAGTTTTGATGGAAAATCTTGTATTTCAAAATACTTCAGTAGTTTTACCAACTCATTTTCGTTACAGCAAAACAGATTCCGTAAAATGTTAAAAGTTTTGTTCAAATTGTCTAAATTCTGTCTTTTGAACATCGCGTTGACATATTCAGCGGGAATTTCTCTAACGAATGCTTCCTTTTCCTGGAATGTCGAGCTATAAAGAAAGTTTCTACATAGCGAGAGAACCTCTCCATCGTACATGAACAATTTTTTCTTAACTATTTTAAATCCATCATTATCAATAAATATTTTTCGATAATTGTTGTAATTAAGCAGGATATTGCTCAATATACACAGAACTTCCCGATTTATATCTTCACTTTTGTGATCGCGCTCTAAAGACAGTAAGCATACTTCCAAAATAGGGCAATTTTGTGTTTCAGTCTGCAGAAACTTTATTTTCTGTGAGAACAGCTTGAACAACTTGAAAGCGCCGAGAAGCTCATTATCAAAAACAAAGTGTTCAATTTTATGCAGTATTAGCTTCACAACACTTTTTGAAAGATGCTTTTGGAATAACTCACGATTCCTTGTTGAAAATGTGCTCAGCTCGTATGCACAAAACAAGGAGTGTGGCTTGAGATCGAAGGAAACCATTTTGAGTAGTTTGCATCGACTAATATAGTTCTGCACATCAGGATTATCAATAGATAGTTGGGTAAGAACATGGAATGCATACTTTTTTTCTATTGTAATACATTTCCTTACCAGCGTTAACAGCCGGATTTCGTGCTCCGTAATCGTGCGTTTGTCACTGTTACCCTGGACTTTCAGGCAGTTGTAGTTTCTATCACGCACATCCTGGTAACAAATTAGCTGTTCACTTTTTCTTTTCGGTATTTTTTGGGTGAAGTACCACTTGCTGTACAACTTTAATAGTTCCACATTCATATGAGCAGTGAAGTATTCTGCTACGGCCATTAGCCGCCCGAAGTCTACGCTGGTACTTTCGTTGAGTAGGCATATCATGATTTTGATACAATAAACATGCACGTTAGATGTTCTATAGCTACTGAACATCGAGTTATCGATTCTTTCCAAGTTTAACAACATTTGATAGAAGAACTCAAAGCTCAGATCAAATTCACCAATTCGGCTATAAATCAGCTTCAAAACTTCAGTTTTGCATTCGTTCTCAAGATCGGCCTCCAAAAAATTCAGCAGCATGGGCTTGTAGTGATTCACATCATCGACATAGCTCAGAATAAATCTCAGTGACCTCATATACTGTACAAATTTGTCGTGAAATGGCTTTGCGTTTGTAACTGTGTCAAGCGCTTCGGAACTGTCAATAGAATCTATTTCAAAAAGCAGCTCATTTTTTGCCAATCTGCAGCTACGCCTTGTAATAGTTTGGCTGATTCTCTGTATTATTTCTAAATGTGTGTTGTTTTTGAAGTATAAATTTCTGAACTCAATATTTTTCACCAAGTTGAAGGAAATAACTTTAAGGTAGTGTAAAAAATCGTTCCTCTCGTATTCTTTAAGCTTCTTTTCATCGTACTCAACCTTCTCAATAGAATCATGAAGAAGCATTCCTTGTGCGTCCAAGAAGTAAGTACTTAAATAATTTAATCTTTGATCACTTTAGCTGTGAAAAACGTATTGGAATGAACAAATCCACAACCAGCTCAAAAAATGGGATAGTCTGATCACAAAAACGTGTAGTAGAATTTTAATCGATAAATTGCAAACCGTTGAACACAAAAATTGCATATCATAGAAACAGACTATGACAGGTTAGTAAATGCGATGTGGCTTAGGTGTTGTAGTCCAAATAGTACTGTTCTAAAATTGATCTGAATTCAACAACTCTTTTCAATTTCTCAAGGTAAATTTTAGCAAAGTTTTCGCTGTTCAAAAAGTCGTACTGTACATTAACCATCAGGTTATTGACACACACATCAAAATTGTTCTTTGATAGAAAATATGGCTGCAAAGAATCGACAAGAACACCATCATGGTTATAATATTGGCATTTTCTTTCGAGTTCATTGATATATTTAACATAGTAAGAGATGTTATCCAAATTCTCAAAGTATTTGTCATTGTATGACATATTCTCGTAGTATAAAATTCTTGGGACAATTCCTTTGAAATTCTCACCAATCTCAAGTGAGCTTGCTCTTTTAATTGTGACTGGCAGCTTAATTTCGTTAACATTTATTTTCAGGACCTTGTTGTTGTATTCTAATCCCAATGTATACAGATTGTTGACAGGACTTGGTAACAGTATTATATTTTCAGCACCCTTTTCTACCAGGATCTTCAGCAACTGCCCATTTCTTACGATTAAAGCCGTATATCCGTTCGGTGTCGTAATTCTGAAAAGAAACTGGTCGCCAATCTTACTATATTGGTGAAGATTACAGTAGAGACAAAAACTGCTCAGTTTTTTCCTAATTGTTACTTTTGACCTGTTGAACACCAATCCACTTACATATTTATAGTCGTGCAACAAGGTTCTTAGACATTTGCTCACAATTTCCTTATCTGAAACGTTTTTTGATAGCTCAAGCTCCAATAAATGTCGCTTCTGATTGCTTGTTAACAGTTCAACTTTCAAATCCAGATGAATCTGGTCATGTCGTATTTTCGTTTTCATTTTTGGATTATTCAGTGTTATGTTCGAGAACGTGTCATCAATGTCACATATATTCAAATTTTTAGGATCATATTCACCACTTCTGCTCAGATTTGGTAATACTTCAGCGTTTAGTGGTCCATTCAGCGTGTTGCTTGTTGTATTTTCAGCATTAAGGAGATTGTCCCCTTTAGCGGTGGCAGAGCTTTGATCTATTTCTTCTTCTTGTTTAGTGTCTTGTTTGTTCTTGATTGCTAAGTTGTTGCTGTCCCCTAGACCGATTGGTTTTTTCGCAAGTATACTCTTATTGCCTGAAAGAGACGAAACGTTAGAAAATTTTTCTTCATTTGACCCGCCATAAAAATTGTGCACTATTTTAGCATCACAGTCATTCATGCCGTCCTCATTTTTCTCTAACAGCATTTTAAATTCATCCAATCGATAAAGATTCTCAAAATTGATTTTTTTTAAGATCATGTACGTGTGATACTCTGATTTTTCCGTAAACATTTTTCTCAAATTTGTGTAAATGATGTCCAGTACCCGACAGTTTTTGTTGCTAGTTGAGCTCAATACCGAATTATCAACGCTACGCGCACTATTATCCGTGTTAGTCTCCGATTTGCAATCGGAATGGTTTTTACAGCACTCCAAAGATTTTGACTCATCGTTAACTATCTCAGAGATGTTGTCTAATATTGTTTGCAGTGCATGCAGAAAGAGAGAGTCCATTTTCCTTTCCTCGCTAAAAATCACGTTCTCAAGAAGCAGTCTCAAATTTAGCTTGAGAAGTAAGTCGGTAAAATTCCATTCCTCTATGTAGTCTCTCGTTAGATTCAGTATTTGGCAGATCGTTCTCGTATTTCTATTGTTAAATATTTGAGAAAAATACACAACACTTTCGGTTTGCAACGATGTCAGAGATCCATAGACATTTGTATCCGTCAGATCGTCATCAACAAAAGTGGTGTTAGAGAAATTATATCGCTCTTCACCTTTGAAATTCCTGTAAAACTTGTATTCTTTGTTAAATGTCACAAGCAGCTCGTGTAAGAAAGGTAGTATGTGCTGCAGGATCTCAGGAAAAGCGTTAAGGAAGAAAAGAGACCGTTCAAAAACTTCGAATGACATGTTGTTCAAATGATTCTTATGTTTTTCAACGCTTTTTCTTCGGAGATTTACCGTAAGGTTTGAGATACTTATACTAGCGTAGTTTATGTCGCTGAAACTTTGTGTTATTTGGTCTTTCACCTCTTCTTCTCGGTTTAGCACCATTTTCTCGACCAAATTTATGAAAAATTTATCAAAATCGAAATTTCTTCGTTTTTGTCTCAGAAAAAGCACGTAATCCAATATGCGTAGTGTTAGTTTCTGGAAAACTATCTTTTCGCGGATCAGGAAAGTGAGATAGTACGAATCTAACAGTTTCTCCAACATCTCAAATTTGAGATGATTTAAATGATTTTTACAGATAAATAAGCATTCGATGTATGCTGAATTGATGACTACGCACTTATCATAGAAAAGACAGTACAGCGTTGGAAGTCTTTTTTCTATTATCAAATCCTTTAAGATTCTCTCTCCCGATTTATGACTGATCTTAAACATATCCTCCACCACTTGAATAGTGTGCTTCACATTGCTGCTGTTGTATGTCTTCAGAAATGCATCGTGTACCTTTTTGTTGTTGAAAACCCTCATGATGGCGAATTTACCGATGTCAACGATAAATTTGTGGTTTCTTTTGGCAAGAATTATGTTCTGAATGGCAGAGTTCGAAGCATTTTTTACAAATTGGTCCTTGAAAAAATTCTTAAAATTGAACTGTTCCAGGTTTAAGGTACGCAATGCCCAGTCGTACAACAATTTCATCATATCTTTTGATTCTGTACTATGGTTTTTCTTTGTAAAATACTGCTCTGATGCCTTATTTTCGGTTCCTGCAACGTCTAAGATCTTAACTTTGATGCGTTTTTCTTCTCCACTCGATGTTTCGTCATCACTATCGCAGATTTTGCTGAAACTCGTAAGAAAATAATCGACATATTCGCTATTTCTATTAAGTACGTAGTTGATAATGAAAAATATTCTTTCTTTCTCTATATTTAGGCAGACTGTGTGGTTAGCATTAGGTGAAATACTGCATAACAAACAGAAAGAAGAGATCAAATACCGATTGACACCCACCATGTTAATCACTTGGTTCTTTTGTAAGTCACTTGCCGCGTTTAGGAGATTGTTCCTAACATTTTCAAAAAGTTGCATCGTTAAGTTTCCTAATTCTAATGCCGTATCTCGATTGATGCTCTGTTTTACCTTTGTACACTTATTCTCTATGGTTTCCTGGTAAATACCTTTTGCAATCAGCCCATTTTCCCATTTTTCGTTAAACTTCGTTATAACCAAAAATAATTCCAAAATTTTGTTTCCTAAGTCCAATAGCAGCTCAATTTTTTTTAGCTCCGTAGCGTCTCCGTTTTCAACGCTCAGAATGTTAATGAGCATCTCATCAGTGATACTCCTTAGTGTGTTATCGAGTACCGCGTAAAAGCTGCTTTCGATCCGTCGCATAACAATTACAAGCTGCCTTGTCAACGTGTTCAGCTCGTGTTTGGAGAGACTTTTAATGAGAAAACTGTCTATTTTATCTAGCAGCTCTCTGATTCGGACCATGTTAGCGATTTTTATCAGGTCGAAATTGCCTCCACAAATTGTCTCGAGCGACTTGATAATTTCTGCAAAATTCGATGTGACCAAAGAATTATCGGTCTCCTTGTGCACTAGTCGTGTTCCCTGCGACATCTTCCCTGTTACATATGTCGAACAATATAAAAAACTTTGAAACAAAACGTTTTATAATTCGAATATTTTTTCATTGTGAGAACTCTTTGAACATATGATGATCAGCAGTATGCCCAACTTCCGTCTACAAGTTTATTACGACCTTGCTTTGTCTGTTTAAATACGCCACCGGTACAGCGAGTCATTTATACCAGCTTGTGCTTGCGTAATAGTACGTTTTTGACAGATGTATCATTTTATTTGCCAAAATTATTTAATTTCACGGCTATATCCTGTGTACTCGCGTATTTAAACATATTTATCGTCCATCAAGTGAAGAACTAAGTATCACTCGAGCTGCTTGAGCACAGCGCTAATCATTAAAACAACCTCTAAAATATCAAATATAGTATGCTAAGTGCGATTGATATGACAAAATCAGCAACTTGTAAATACACATGCGAGCACCATTCTAAGACATATGATCACTAATATTTCTTAATAACATCTTGGCGATCATAACCTTGTGCCAATCTTAATATGCTCTTGTTTTTGCAGAACCGCCATGGGAAAACTCAACAGAAAAAATTAACAATAATGTAAAATTTCGCTTTACCCCCAATGACCATCGAATCAAAAGATCTTCGCAGCGTAGACAGGATAGGTCTGCATTCACACGTGCACTCTCTCGGCGTGGTTGACAATAAGATACATGATGGTTCTGGCCTTGTTGGCCAGGAGAAAGCAAGAATTGCCCTGTCATTATCAAGGGAGCGCTCTCATATAGCGTTGCTCCATGGACCGAAAAATTCGGGGAAGTCAGCTTTGGCCACAGCGCTATCGAAAGACACGGAAAACAGTGTTTATATTTCTGCTGCGCAGATAGAAAGTGTGGAGGAACTGGATAAATTGATCCTTTCGGTGCAGGTTGTGGTGCTAATGGAAGAAACAACCGTGATTGAAGGTGAAATAGTATCGATTTCCGGGAACAATATGACGCTAAGAACAACAGACATGGAGAGCAACTTCACTGTCCGAGAAATAATTGGTTTTACGGAAGGAGACGTTCTACAAATTGTAAATGGAACGATAAAACGCATGGGAACCACACGTACGGGCGAATCCATTGATCCAAATGTGCCCATTGTCGGGACACCGAAGGGAAACCTAGTCCAAAAAAAGATTTTGAGAAAACGGACAACGTTCGCGAATTTGATAGAAAATAATGACAAGAATGCAGACAAGTACCTTATATATGAGAAGGTAACAGATTGGATTGCAGAGAACAAGGCTGAGATTCCAAAAAGCACATTAATAATCGATGAGGCTCATCTTCTTGACGAAAGAATGCTTAACTACCTGTTCAAGATAAGTGAGCTGGTACATCCTCCGTTTATTCTCCTTGTTTCTAAGGATGACATTGATGAAAACAGACTGCTAAAGATAAAAACATTAACGTACACCGACAAGGAAAAAGAAAAAATTCTCAAGCTACGCGGATTGGAGGAGGAAATTGTGCTGAGTGACGATTTGATAAACAATCTGTTGGATATAGAACGTAATATGGGAATGAGATACGCTATTAATGCTGTAACGCTTGTTGGTGTTCTTGCCAGTTTTTATCAAAGGGATCCTAACGTGAACGATTTGAAATGTGTTTGTGATTTATTTTTGGACGTGAAGCGTGCGAAAGAGGCATTTTTGTAAGGATGTTGAATAAATGTTGGCAATTTATTACCATTATTATGTTTCTGGTGCATATATATTGTTACGTGCAGGGAATCAATTGTATGCTGATAGATAGACATGTTTTTTAAAAGCGATAACTGATGCGTTGTATTTGATCTCTATTCAGCGTATTTGTTCTATTTAAACGAACACGCCACTTTCCATTTTTTTAATTACAGGTGAACGAAAGCTTTTGCTACAATCAAATAGCAATTTCTTCGAACTTCATATGACCCCTGGCGATGTTCTTAAAATATTATTTGAACCGAATACTTGGACGAAAATTAACGTTTGCTAAAAAGCCGGACATTATTTTCATTGTAGACGCATACAAGGACGTGCCGCCGCATGACATTGGGGAGCTGCAGAGTAAATACGGGATAAAAAAGATCTTGATACTGAAAAGAGATGATCTGGATACCTTTCACGCCCAAGAACCCCTTGATATTCAAAGCCTACCTGATTTGATAATATACTGCAATAACAAGCTTGAATTCAAATTACGTGAACCTGAAATACTGTATAAGGCAGAAATAGTTTTCAGCAGATTTGGATTTGGTGAAAGATTGTTTGTTGAAGCCTTAGACCACTATTCGAGCTGTGTTATCAACAGCGGTAAGTAAAAATAATTCATTATTAAAATATGTAAGTGTACTAAACGGATGATTGTAGTATGTGGTTTAATTCTGAGAAGAATCTTTTGATATGCAGAATTGCCATTTAAGGACATGCTCTTGTTCATTCATTTTTACGATATGTTAGCGGACCTGGCAGCCAAGCGAGGAGACTGGTTTCCTTGTATAAGGTTCAAATTCGAATCATTCTTGGCAGGTGAATTCGTGGAAATGCTCGAGAGTCTTCCTCAAGTTTTTATATTGAAGAAATGCGGCAGCTACAATTGAGTTTATAAATAAGATGAAATGTTACTCGTATATAGCAGATAGAGAGGTAACGCTTGTAGAGGAGCAAACTTTTACTATCACAAGATGGTATATGAAATGACTCTCAAAAATTTCTTAGTCGCCGATACACCTTGGTATCTGAGACGGGGATACCGCTGCGAACCAAAAATCTCTAGTACATGATAGGAAGTAGTTCTCTAGGATAGTCGGGTCTGAAAGGATGAAATATGCAAATGTCACTTAGAAAGAAAAACTTTTCACTACATGTCATCATACCGTTTGTAAGGTTATTTTGCTCTCTAACTAACGTGCATGTAACCACGGGCCATATTTAAATATCTGCCTTCCCAACATTGTCTGTATTCCTCAATAAAAATTATCATTCTGGTACACCACAAAACTATCGCATCCCAAAAAGCACAATATAATGACCACTATGTAGAGCTCAAATCGAATAAACTATAGTTACAGTTCATCTGATGAATAAGCTAAGTCAACCAATAATTTGTAATTTAATAAATAATATATCGTATCAGTAGCGCCCTCTAATCTTCATGTTAGCACAGGCCGGTATTTTCCCGTTTGTGTTTTTGCCGCCAAAATACGCATTTCCAAATGATAATCATGACAAGAGTGCCGAACATGTTAGAAATCAGGCAACAACTGGAACTTGAATGAATAACTTTCTCACTCTAACGAATCATAGTTTGTATGACAGGCTAAGAGCATAGGAATGCAAAACAAGTATTTTAAACGCAGACGCATGTTCATCTCGATTTCCCATGCTTTATATGAATATTGTGCCAAAAATGCATCTTTACATCGATTTTATACGACAATAAAATGTGAACCGCATTTGTTGCGTCATCTTCAATTCTTTTACCTTAATTGCTGAACAAAACCATTTGGTTAACAAAACGCTAATTAAACGCTAACCAAGTTTCAGTGCAGGAATATAACGGTGAATCAATCGATATGACGTAACATATTGTACCTATTAACGATAGTGCATGCATTTTACTCCTATATTCTAATCTTGTATTTTTCATAGATTCTTACCCTCTTTTCCTATTTCGTATCATTCTATCTCTTTAACACTTCCAAGTCATGTCGATCCTTCAGAGTGTGTACGAAAAGAACTTATCAAACAATAAAAAAGGTTTAATACCATACTTTACATTAATTAAAGAGATGTTCTGTTCATATTTGTCATTATCATAGTTCAGTACTCTATGAAATATAAAATTGTATGTAAACAGAGAATGCGTTGCTGAAGACACGCTCATTCCTTCGATCAAAATTTTGCACGAAGAATCGAAATGCCATTTCCCTCCAAAGTGGGGATAAATAAATGAAAATTTGAAGCATTGGAAATAAAAAATGCACGTAACTACAAAAAGTGCACGGGCTCTTCTCAATATGATGAAGGCAAATAAATTGATAAAAATTTACTCTGCGTACGATGTCTCAAGCATAATTGCCACGGATCTTCTGATAACGGTGTTGGAGAAGGAATGTATAAAATATGAATTGACGGTTTGCGAGATTGTCGAAAAGAGCACGGAGAGGGAGAATGATGTTTTACATGTTTATGTCGACTTATATCCGAGAAAGGATCTCAGCGGCTTGTTCGTAGGACTAGCAGTCAGGAAAAAGTTTCTAAAAACGAACCGTAACGGGGGCAATAAAACTCGCCTGGCTGATGAAGATGCACTAGAAATTAGAAAGGATAGGGTAGACTGTGACGAGGAGGTTGAAAAAAACGCTGGAAAGGGTGAAGGAATTGATCCAGATAAAGATCTGGGCGGTGAGTATTCTTGTAATACCTCTTTTCTTTCCTGTGAATACAACGGATGTAAATGCAATGATGATGCATATTCGATTCTCACCTTGTATTCGATGGTAAAGATGCTAAACCTTGTAGGAAACGAGACATTATGGCCGATCTTGATTTATTTTTCATATTATGATGTGTTTTTTAGGAATGGAGTTGAGTGCGATGTGTGCAATAGCATTTTACTGGAGCTTAAGTACGAATTAGAAAAAAATGAGACCAACCAGGTGCTCGATAGAAATTACGGCGCACCTGACAATAGCACCAACGCAACCAACGCTCTTCTTTACAAGCGTGACATAAATTTGCCGTACCTCTTCTCCACAAATCTGTACTTGACACTGAACAACAACATAACATTCTTGGTACAGAAAAAGATTTTTACCAAGGTAAAATCAGAGGCAAAACTGAACGAATTCCTTGCAAAATCGGGTATTTCCATACAGACGGCCAAGGAATCATTTGTTAATCTGTGTAAAAAGTACAAAGACTTGATTTACCAAACACTGCCTCAGTCATTCATTTTTATAAAGAAATACGACAATGACATGAGAATAACGGGCATAGAGAGCTACTACTTGATGCTTAGCTATCTCTTTTACGGCAGACCGTATTTCTGTATTCAATCCTTGCATAAAAAGAAGTACACCGACTTGACCACTATGTGCAAGGAAAGCAGCGAACACAACGGTGAGAATTTGAATGATGAGGAGGATTTTGATGAAAATGCATGCCGTTCAGAACAAAGAGACGAATATCTGAACAAGAACCGAAATAAATCACAGGCAAACACCAATTCATACAATTTCAAAGAGAATAACGTGTATTTTCTGCTGATGCGCACCTTCAAAGAGAATATTAAAAAGATCAAACAGGTGAAAAACATCAAAATACTCTTTCTGTGCACCAATATCACCAATTTGGTGTTCATAAAAGAACTTTACAATGTTTTCGTTCTGTTCTTCAATCTCTTGGGCATCAGCAACAGATTTATAATCTTGTTAGAAAATTATGACAAAGACAAGGCGTTGATATACGGCAAGAAGGAGAAAAAGCTGAGAATCAGCGGTGAGATTATTGATAACAAAGGAATGGCGCTATTGGTAGCGAAGAAGGATGTCCGATATTTCATAAAAAAATGTCTGAAAATGTAGCGTGATATTCAACGCACCAGAAGTAAATAGATAAAAATAACGATGTGTAATAAAACCTAGCAATTCGTAATGTAACGGAGAATGATCGAGAACATAGATCGTACACGTTAGCCGGATGGCAATAAAAATATTTTTTAGTATACTCGCTGTTCTTTCTGTAAATAACATGTCTCTAATGCGGTTGCGGTTTAAATCCATCAACTGCCATGTTTCTGGTGGCTCTTGGCAGTCTTACGGTGCTGTTTCTCAATCTTTCGTCAACTTTTACCTGGCATCCAAGTCGTGACGTGCTACATGGCATGAAGGCTTGGTCGAGTAGGTCATACTCCCGATCGCTTGGTTCTTCCAACGATTGATACAGCTTTTTATCTAATATAACATGGCAGGTTGAACACGCCAAACTGCCCTCGCATGCACCCTCCAGATCGATCTTATTGGCATGTGCTACCTCTAAGAGCGTTTTCCCAGGTACTGAAAACACCTCCTTTGGCGTTTTGTCCAAAAATATAAAATTTATAAGTTTTCCATCATTAATCTTCTTGAGCATACGAATGCAGTGTGAAAGGGCTCAACAAATTTAATGTTAAGGACAACTTCGCCTTCCTAATAAGCGTACATACCGCTTACAGCACAAACGATACGAACACTTTTGTGCACATGCATAGTTTTGATGTACATTCGAGTAGCTACCGTCTGTGCAAGACTTCAAATCACGTGTTGTTTCATCAATGATACGTTTCTTTGAGATAGCACGTTTTCTTGAGTAAATGTTCGACGTGCTCTAATCATTTCGCCAATTCGTTTTCGTATCACAGCAGTCGTGCTGCAGCACAAATATCAAAAATCAATCACCAACACCTTTTAGACCACCACTACCAAAAATTGATGCTTTACTCACGTTTTGGTTATCTCGCGGTATAATTAACTGTAATATTGGATGGGTGCTCGATGCTTACCATTTAAGTACCATTTTGCTTAATCTCAGATAATCATCTGCCCGGTCTACAAATTTATTTTTGTAAAGATATTTAACAACAGCACTCGTAGAGAACATTCCACGTGTTATCTGCAAGGATGAGCACCATGGTGCTTGATAATGCTAATGAAAGTAATTGAAGGACTGGTGTAGCATCTCTGAGTACATGCGCATTTGTTGATACCAAATCTGGTACTCTGTGGTTGATCAGATTGGTAACAATTCATTAATTGATTCTGTTTTGTAGAATGATCATTTCATTCAGAGAATTACAACGATAAAGTATAAAAAACGTGTTTTATTGTGTGGTAACACTATTTGTGTTTAGAAAGGCGCAAAATACCATCATAAAGTTCCTACAATCCTAGATAATTCGATATTTTGTTTAAAATACCATGTATACTCATTGGGACAGCCCTGCTTAAAAATAATAACAGAGGTTGGTGTGAACCTCAGCAAATTATCAGGTGCTACGGGGCAGACAAAAGCGGTTATTGTCAGCCACTTCACAGCATTTCACTTCTCAAGGACACACTGGACATACACACGATACATGTCCAAATTTCTTTTTCTGTTGATCAATAACCGTTTATCCATCATAAATTCCACTATTTTAAATTCACCGGTAAGGCTTCGAAAGTAGTCTTCGCCAAAAAAATATGTTAATGTTCCATCGTTTCTCATGTAAAAGTTCTGCTCCACAATTTTGTTGCTCTTATACCTCAGCTGCACCATATCAAGAACGCCGTAGTCTTTAAAGTACAAACGTCCGTTTGGATTCAGAGCTTTATACGCCTTTTCAAGAACATGCGCGTGGTATTTTGGCTCTATGGCCGACAGTGTAAAAATAAGGAGTATGGTGTCAAATCCGGTCGGAAGCGGCACATCTGAAGTTAAGTCGTGGATAAAAAACGTGCCCTTGTATTTCTTCTGGCATATACTCACCGCTTTCGGTGAAAAGTCACAACCGTAGATATCAAAGCGTGACTCGTTCAGAGCAGAACTGATGGCTGCTTCATCCTCATTGATCTTAAAGAAATGATGCAATGAACTTCCCACACCGCATCCAATCTCTAAAATTTTTCTTCTGCTCAAAATATCTTTGAACTCTTCAATGATCCACTTCCTGTTTTTGAAAAAGTTATCCTGGTGCATTCTGTAAAACTTGTCCCAACTTTTTTCGCTGTTGATCTCAAACTGGTTGTTCGAAATGCATAGATTGTCATCCTGTACTTTCTTTATCGCCTTTTCCAGAGCAGTATCTTTTATTTCCTCCTTATCCCACGCGTTAAAATCGTTCTTATTTGCTATGTCAACCAATTTTCGATCACGAAACATTAGGGCACGATTTTACGATCGGCAAAATTTTTGTTCTCGAGGAAGGATCACAAACCAAGAACCACGTTTTCTTGGTTGGCCAGGAAAGTGTGTTTGATAACATTGAGAGACGCGACGAAGAAAGACATGACGTGCTTGAGAACGTTTTATTGAGAGATCAAGATTATTGCAGCACCATATCTCATCGATTGAAGACTCAAATAGGTCATTTCTCACCGATATATGCTCAATTTACTATTATATCACATTAAAAATGTCATTTGCAACAAAATTATCGTGTCGATGCCGGTAATCGCAGTGCGCATTTTTTGGTAACGTGTTGAGGCAGTTCGTTTTGAAAGATGTTGTAGCAATGAGAGGAACGAGTAGTATCCGGTGAGTGTATTGTCGAATAAAATATTATCAAAAATTGCGGTTTGTTTTCTGGCCATTGAATTATTCTTTTGACTGAAGAAAATTTGTTTTTACGAAACAGTGAGCAACGATTCGGTATAATTGTTGAAAAATGCTTAATACTTAGAATCCAAGGTTATTTTGTTGAATCAGAAAACACAACGAATAGATAAGCTAAGTGGATGGAACAGCATTCACACAATCTAACGGCACCTCCACGCTTGACATGACTGCATCTGTTCTAAAAAGATATATTAAAGGGAATAGCTAGAACCTCAAAAAAATGGTGCAAACTCCCTAACTCGGCAGAAATATTTAAGATCATAATCCTAATAAGTAGAAACTTTACTCAATTTGAGCCATCAGCTCCTCAACTCTTCTTTTAAACTTATCGCTTTCCCTTATTGAGCTCTCCCGTTCTGCGATCTTCTCTTTCTCCTCTCTTTCCTTTTGTTTTATTTCCTCAACCGCCTTATTCTGTCTCTCTACCTCGTTGAAATACTTCCACCCAAACTTAAAGCACAGATCCTTCATGTAATAGAACCTTCTAATCGGATCTGCTGTGTATTTGAGCATTGCCCTCGGACATACCATGCAGTGTGTGGAGACCAAATCATCGGGACAGCTATCATGGACCGTGAGAAGGGAGAGTGCGCACTGTCCTTTGTATTTTTTCTTAGGTACCATGCGCTTAACTATACGCGTGAACAACATAGAAGGTGATCGGTGGTGAAATGGGCCACGCAGCGGATTGGTAAGCTTTCTCTTGTTCAAAAAGTCCTTAAATCGGCCTACTCCTCGCTCTATAGGCCCAGTAAAGACGAGGTTCTCGGCATGCACAACGGTAACTGGCACACCCTCCAGTATGTGTTTGGCAACGAATGTTGCGAGCTTACCGGCGACATGGTCTTTGGCATTAATGACAACCGTGCGTGACTGGTCATTGTGCTCGTACGTTCTGTTCGGCTTGTACATCCTCAGGGTAAAGAATTTTAATTTTTTTGTAAAAATTTTTGAACTGGAGCGAGACATGTCGGGAATAGCGAACCGCAAACCGTCAGTTGCTATGATCTGTAAAAATATATTTGCTACGAAGATGACCTTTATTTACAGCAATTGACACAAAGATACATTTTTTAGAATATCATACGTGCTGTGCATTATTTTCGCCAACAGCAGATTTAAAAATCATTAAACAATTCTACTACGCTTACAGCGTGTGAGCGGTTATGAATAAAACGCGATAAGTATGATTTACACATACCGTTTAGAGTCCACTAGCACAGTCTGATGGAAGGGTGAATACGGCACTACAATAAACATAACCGGTAACAGAATATGATCATCCCACAATGCAACAAACTGCCGGCGTAACACACAAATAGCTATCTATCAAATAAAAGAGCTTTACTTCGTATCCTCCACCAACTTGCCAGTTCGATTAGTCACCAAAATGTTGTATTCATCAGCCTTTGACACAATTTCGATCCTTTTCTTCGCACCCACACCATGCCTGATCTCGGCACAGTAGTACATGTTCAACGACGTCAACGCCTCCAGTTCTCTAACATTGCTCACCATCACCTTCCTGTATCCATCCGGTGTTAAATTCTTGATGACACCGGCAGTCTTAAACCCCTTGTTCGGCATTGATATCGTGCCACGGTACTTTCTCCTCACACGATTATCAATTCCTCTTGGATGACGCCACGACGGCTTTACACGTTTAAATCGATCCGATTTAAAACGATTGAACGTCTTTTTGCACTTGGAGGTGTTTATCTCTGCTAGGACATTCTCTAACTGTGCGACCGGTTGTGCCATTCTCAGGGTACCAAAAATTTTTTATGAAAAGGATTGGTCTAGAGCAAAGGTGAACTGAAGAAATGCTAAATACTTCAAACACACGGTTCTATGACACGTTAGAGTGCATGTTGAAGGCTTATGACTAAAAAATAGCAAATTAAATGCGGCCATCGTGTCAATTAGCGACTTTTATCCGTGCTCATGAGTGCAACCGCACAAATTAATAATATGTGCCAAATTATAAGTAGCACAGCCGATATTCGCCATCAATATGAATGATGATTTGCAGCTCTATTATTTAGAAAGGTTGCGTGGGAAAAATAAGTAATTTAGAGCAGGAATTGTTAACACTCAAGATTTGCGCTGATTTAAGCTATTATAGTAAGAAAATCTGCTAATTCTTCATTTAAATAGTTCATTTACTTCTCACATATTACATCATCCAGGCAAACGTATCTTCTAATTCGTTGGGACTAAACTAGCCAATTTCTGTGACTGAGCTTGTAGCTGACGTTCTGTTTGCTCATGTATCAAGGTTTATAAATAATTTAAACTTTGGTACAAAAGCGAAAAGCACAGGCGATAGCTCTTGTCATTGCATTGCTTGTGCTAAAATGTGTGTTGCCTAGGTATTGTTGTATACAAGGTAGGTGTTTATCTGCACAGCCCAGTCTTTGTGCGTGGTCAGTTGTATGTAGCTTTGTCGATAGTGCGCTATGTAAACGGTCTAAGGGTGTATGTTGCTGACAATGGAGACCAAGGAAAGTGTGAGAATGGTAAAGTATACACAAGAAATGTTGTGTACAATGAGCTACTGGAATGAAAGTGATTTATTGATTTTGTAACTATACAACAGTTGGTAGAAAGGAATGACCTGATGTTTTAGTTATATTTAAATGCGCTATTTTGGTATACTATCCATTCATCACCCATTTTTGAACAACGGGATAGCGCAGCTAGTTGTTGTTTAAAAAGATGAATAAACGCCCTTTTAATGAAAAGAAATATCGGATCATGTGCATTTAAATGGACAGTGTCTATTTATACAATCATTATGTCGGATGGTTAAATCCTCAATTTTAATTTTTCCAGCTATGTGACATCAGGATGACTTGATAAGAAAGATTCCTTGACGTATTAAATACGGAACTTATATCAAAATTAGTTTAGAAAACATTCTAAGAATAAGCGGAATGAATGGTAACATAGCTATTTACATAATTATACTCTGTACCTATCACTAAATCGTGCAACATTCGCACCGATATCTTTCTAAGCTCAATAAAGGAAATACAACTTTCTATAAATCGTGATTTGTTTTTGACGTTCATGAAAAAGCTTAATACATTCTATTTTTTAATTTGTTTGACTTTGTTGCTTTCGATTTTTTTCTGACTTGATATGTAAATTTATCAGTTTTAGAGTATATCCAGCATTCTTACCATCTCCATATATCGTAGCAACACAAATTACTGCCTATCCATAACGAAGTATTCATCGGATATATAAATTTGGTTCGTATAACGGCAATGAAATGAAGAATAGAGCGGCTGTACACTTCAGAGTTCAAATTGTTCTCTAAGCTTACCGTCAGCTCTAGATTTATACGACCTTGTTGGCATTAAATTTATTCAAATCACGGTTTTGACAGCCTGATAAGTATACCAGGAACATAATTTAAAAGGGTGAGGGATAATTCACCACATGTCTTTCTTATTATTGGTTTCTCTGGCTATGGCGAAATTTCTAATTGATATGATGTACGAAAAAAAGTGTTATAGTGAGGGACATGTAGTTTACAAGAGAATTGATTGTAAAAGCGCCAAATACATAGCATGTCCTCAGTTAGTGTGTGATGTTGACCCGGAAAACTGCAAAAAATTTGTGATTGAGATACTTAAAGAGCATGGTATCCGTGAAGAGCTCATTCATAGGTACATGAAAAGTGAGAGTATGCAACACGGTTTGCACAAGCATTTGTGTGACATGAACGTGAATAGATACCCGTTAGAAATTAACGAAATGAATTATGGGATTTTTCGTCTTGATGAGGCTAATTTAGAGAAAGATATAGAAACTTACTTCCAAATACACGATTTGTGGATGCAAAGCATTGACGTTGCTATCTTGGGATGCGAATGAATGCCATTCGTATAAGCGATTATTAAGTAAATCATTACATAAGTCTTTTAGGTATATACTGTTGAAAGATGATACCTCCACGTCTATCTTTAGATTATGTGTTTGGTAATTCTGCTACGAACGGAGTAGATCATTTGCAAATTAGTAATCCTGATAGGTAGCCGATCTTATCATCGGCAGAGCATTGTAGTGCAACCGCTGATTAGTTGCCATTAATCATTCCTAAAACCACTTGACAATAGCAAAATTCGAATCATAATATAAAATACGAGCATCATATTATTTTGCACTCCATTATGTGTATGAACTTTCTCAAAGCGATGATTCTCTGGCTAAAAATGGTTATTAAACTTAAATAATATTCTGTTATTAACTAAAAGTTAAAAAAGTTGCAATAGATCAAGCCTGCCAGTCTCTTGAGTTGTAGCTCCTAACATTGGCAATAAAAAAAATTTTATTTTGTTTTCACCTTCCGTTTTAATACAATTTGATGTAATTCATTATCGTTCAAAGTTTTTGATTTTTGAAAATGTTATCAGATATAGTAAAGACATGGTCCGGTCTACTGTGTTACCCTATCTCAAACACATTCATAACAGCGTTACATACCGATGTTAAGCTTTTTTAGTATTATAATCCGGTCTATTTCATTGATAAAGAGTCTTGTTATTCTTTTACAAACTAAAGGTCACGAAGATAGGTGTGTATTGACGCACCAGAAAAGAAATTTGTGTTTGGTATCACTAACACGGGATAGTAGAAGAATGGCAGGTAGGTGAATGTTGAAGTTATGTAAGTGGTATTTGTGCTAGATGTCTTTTTAGGCAATAAATTTTCTTTTCAAAAAAAATTGATTTAATAACACACAAATGATGTCAAAACCGTTCTAATCGATCTCTACGCTGATTATCATGATTGATCTCATTTTTGTCATCAAGTAATGTCATTTGTTCATTTTTGCAAGCAATCATATATCGGCAAGAGATCAATATTCGTTTAACCTCATTCACTACAAGCACTCACATATTAGTAACGCTGACAATCTGAGCCGTGATTATAATTCGTTTTCTTTAGTCCTCCTTTTCCGAACCTACTCCATCTACAACCACACGAACCAATGAATACAGCAGCATGATACGGTCTCTCAACAATATTCAGCACTAACTTCAAGATTACATCTGTCTTCCCGATTGATCGATGTGGTATTACACGCACTTTGGTAATTCGGGAAAGTGTATATATATGTGATTAACAAATCCCTCCTGTCATAAATGATGTTCATTCATTTTAATTGTTGTGGAGCTACCATAATTGCAGATATCTTGATTGAGACAAAAAAGCAATGTGAGGGTTGGCCTTGCAAAAGCATAGCTATAGGCATCATGGTTCTCGGTGCACTCCTGCTGGTGTTCGGATCACTGCTCAAAAGACCATCTGTTTGGCTGCTTTCAATATTTTATCTCGCGCAGATTGCTTGGTGCTTGTTCGAGAATTACGGATTGGGATATCTGTTCGTTTTAGAACTTCCGCAATCACAAAAGGAATACACAGAAAGTTTTCTGAAGTTCATGAATGAACACAAGCTGATGGTGATTGCCGTATTATTGGTGATTGCATTTATTATTGCCTCACTGTCGATCGCATTTATCAAATCTATTTCGCCATCCGTGTTTATCGCACTTATAGGATTGGCCTATACGGAAGGATGTATATACAGAATTTTTATCAAGATCGGTACGTCCAACATTTACGCGAGAGGGTTTGTCTATACACTGATCAATATCGTACTTCTATGGCTCTACATTGTGTTTCCCCCTTTTATTCTCGCGCTGATGTTCGCTTTTTTGGGCTCACTAATGATTACTTGTACGTTGGACACGTTGTACAAGTTTGAATGGTGCATCCTGGAGGCGGTTTGTTCGAGTTATCAATGCTTGGATGCGAACATGGATAAAGAAGTGAAGCTTGCTGCTTATATGGTTATGCTGGTTTTGTTTGCACTCGGGTTAGGTGCACAGATCCCTATGGTCTTGAAATTGCATGAAAAAGAAGAAGAGAGGACTCAATAAATTAAAGTAAGTTTCAAGGCTTTTTTTCGTGTGCTATTAGTGGTTGGTTAGCTGTCAGAAATTGGTTCGTTGAGAAATTCGTAATTATGAAATATAATAAATCGGGCACATGGAAAAAATATGGTGAAAATTCTAATTAGCAGCGAGGACATACTTAAAAATAAATATGACACCAATAAACATCATTAAATAATATAATTTATGACCCACTCAAATATTTAACGTAAATTTCTGTGTAATTTAATATCAATGATACGATACGGATCAACTTAATACCCTAGGTTGGTTATGATATCAATAAATTTACATTAAATACTCTAAATGTTGGATGAACCGTGAAACATCATTAACGAAAATACTGTTTATGAACAATTAAGATTGATATTTGCAATCTTAGTTAGCAAATATTGATCTGTACTAAATTCCGCTATATCAAAAATAGCTCATATAAACTAACTTTTAAGGCAAGAAAAATAGAATACGGTACTTTAGTGTTCGATATTTCATATGGTAGGATTTAGATCAGCAAATTTGTACTAATTATTACTATTTTCTGGTAAACTTTTACCAAATTACTATTGCTTGCTGATTGTGGTATAATTTTCGCTCACAATCGGCAAGCAATTGCGTTGTTCTATTCTTTGTAAATTTCTAAGAGCGTTGTTCAAGGCTTATTTAGCAGACCATTTTAGAGTTTGCGTACCGATTCGACTTTGTATTGTTCTGAACAGGTAATGAATAGGCCTTATCTGTGGTTTTTGACAGAAATTGCGAGCCATTGCAACAAAGTTTGTCAAATGTACTGATATCGCAAGAAATATACCAACATCAACCATCAATGTAATGAAATAAAACAAGTAAGGTGTTTCACATCAATACAACAATAAAAAGTGCAGTACTCCGTGGAAATGAATGATAATTATACAAAAGATAGGTTGTTGTGTATATGAAAACTCAAACTCCATTATAAGCGTGGTAAACAGTGCCGATATGTTTAGTTACACCATAACGAAGAGTTTATTGTAAATTATAAATATCCCATAGGGTGTTCGTGCTTTATTCCGGAATCTCTACCTCTTCTCGCACGTCCTTAATTCTCACACCTTTTAGTTCGGCTATTTTACCCACAAGGCTTTCACAGCAGTCTTTGAGCTCGTTGTAGGTGTTCAACTTCTTTATGAAGGCTTTGACCATGGTTTCTACGTCATCTGACGTGTTTATCGACTCGCATTTAATTTTATAGAACTGATTCTCAATATCTGGAACAGCGTAGTAATAATCCAAATCAATGTGTTTGATGAGACCGTGGTCCAAAAGAAAGTCGAAAGATGTTATTTTTGATTTGTGAATAATTTTGTACTTCGGCCAATTGTTGAGCTCTGAAATCATTCCGAAACTTACAACGGTACAAAAAAATTGTTCAAAAATACCGCTTTGTCCGAATCAATGGGTTGAATTTTGATGCCGAGTGATTATATCATACGCAGAGAGCAACCTTGGCGCTAAATCAATACGTCTATTACAGGAGTAAACATTAAAACATCAGGCGCTCAATTCGTGGCATGTGTTCATTATAACAGACCTGCAGCAACATGATTATTACTTTGATATAGTGCAAACCGCCTATTTACGGTGTACCCTATCGAGTGACATAATGACTCGTTGTCGAATTGTAACAAACACGAAAAAGTCAGAAAAAATAGGAGTGGTTAAAACAACACGTACGTTTAATACGTTCATTTATCGGTAATAAAATGAATTACTACTGACTGAACGGCAGACCTGCTCGTATTTAACTACATGGTGAACTCAACGAAGGTGGCATTTTCATTCTCGGTATAATTTTTGATGAACACGTTTCCTTTAAAGCCTGTCTTTATACAATTATCACTTGTGATACTGCTTAAGTTCAAAATCTTAAATATTTCTAAAACTTTACTACTTAAGAAAAAACCGGTTAGGAAGAATATGTCCGCTTGTGCGCAGCCATTCTGCTGAAAAAATTCCAAATTGTACAACTTATCCATTATGACATTGTACAGGATTATGTGTTTGTCTCTATAAACATATTTCACGGCAAGCAGACAGTTCTTTTTTGTAAACTGCAAATTCCTCTTTCTCTCAACGTATTCTATGCTATGTATGTTCTTTATCTCATCCATCCTACTGAAAATGAGGATGTGATTGTTGAAATACGATTTTTTCGAAATAAGCACAAAGTTTTTGATTCTGTAGGTCATATCTTCCTCAGAAAATACTGATTTTAGAGATGATACCACTTTGTTCACGCAAATAATTATAAATCGAATGTTCATACTGGGTTGTAGATCCAGGTTATCAAAATCGTGTTTGGAAACAACTTTTATGGTGACGAGAAGCGTTGTTTCTTCGTTACAAGGAGGTTCTTCTGCATTTTTTGCGCATATGTCGTTGTTTGATAGAATGTTTCCATTCATGTCATGCAGTTCTGCTGCTGCAGAGCCGTGATCCTCGGCTCTTTGTAGGTCTGTTAGGTGGTTGTGAAATGGGTCGTTTGATGTGGTGGTTTCGGTATAATTTTTTTGTGCTGATTCCTCTTCTGGTTCGTTTATCTTTGAACGGCCTAAAAATGTGTCTATCATTTCCATTTTTTGTTTATCATTAAACTTGTCACAAATCACGCGTTTGGTAAAAATGTAGAAATCGTCGAAAAGCCCCTTTATACTCCTCTTTTCTTTGACTGCTAGCTCGTTTTTCAGCGCGTTCGATCCTGCGTTAAATAAGCTGATGGCATTTCCATTCTCCTGGAAAAGTGTTTTTAAGTGATCCTTGGGTATTTCCATTTGTGTATGGTAGTAATCGCATATAAGATATGATGCAAGGTTTGTCCTGTCAAGACAGTCCAAGCAATTCACTCTAAAAATTATCTTGTTATTATAATTGTTATTGATTTTCATTTTTTCTAATATAGAACCTATTTTGGTACGGAGCTCTGTGATAAAGAGATGCTTGAGCTTCTTATAGTTCAGATGGTATTTGTTGAGGTTAAAATCAAAATATTCTATTTTCAAGTTTTTCAGCAGTTCTTTGTACATTATACTTAACTTCTGCTCGCTCTTCTTGTTCGATAGTAGATTTATCACCAGGATGTTGTTGAAATGGCATATCTGCTGGGTGAATGAGCTTTTGTCAAGGGACTCATCTCTATTTTTATCCGAAAATTTGCAAACACCGACATCGTTTCGGTTTCCATCCTCAATTTGCTCGCTGTCTCGAAAGTTATTATAAAAATGCTTGAAACAAGCTCGGAAACTGTCCTTTTCGTTGCACTGGAGCTCCCTTAAACTCCCTGTTTGCTCCCAGTATACAGGCACGCTTCCTCTGTAAATAATGACGTTTGTTATCACGTTGCCATTTTTGACTACTAAATACCTGCTCTTGACAAAGTTTGAAACATTTCCCTCCACGTCAACCCCACGGGAAAAATAACGCGGACCTACTCGATTACTCGAAATGAACGAGAGAAGAATGTACTCAAAATTCGAGCAAGCCTTCACGTTGAAGTATCCGGTGTACAAATAAACAATTCCTGTTTGGTTTTGTGCATTAGCCATGTTCGTTCGCAAAAATTTATTCCATAAAAATTTTGTGTCTTCCACCTCAGTTCTTGTGAAATAGAGCGGAGAGTCGTTCAAAAATTTCACAAGATTTTCCATTTCCTTGCTTTTATGTGATACTGCAGCCACCAAATCTTCTTTCGCTAGCCTCAAAATTTTTTTATCTTTTGTTTTAAGCATTTTTCTCTTACAAAACTCCTCGATGTTCGTAAGATTTGCGCTCTCGATAATTTTGATACGATAGATTTTGTAATCGAGGTTATCTAGTGCAAGGAACGATTCCTTCACGTAAAGTAGGTATACGGTATCGTTTACTGCAATTTTACCGAGCACGCCATCGATATTAGATAGTTTGATACACTGAATGTCGCTGCTGCCATCAACGTCACAGGCACAGATCGGAAGTGAGTTCAGAAAAAATTTCAGTTTTCCCTCCAGCGGAGAGAATCTCAGTTCATCGCACATGTCTGATCCAAAAGGGCAAAAACAAATATTTAGCTTATAACCAATCAAATATTATCCGTAAAAACGTGATTCGAGATAAGAATTGTGCGCCATAATTATACGTCCAAGAATCATACGTGTTTTGTTCGCTGCAACGCACAACCTTGGTGGCACTTACCAAATTTGTACCAAAAAAAGATGAAGCAGAGCACAAGATGAGTTATCCATTAGGAAATAAAACGGCCGTGTATTAACAGGTGCCATTCCTTACTTCGTGTAAAGATCATTTATCAGAACTTCTCTGACAGCTTTAATGATCATTGTTTTGAACGTGGCAAAATAAATAGGACGATGAAATATCGCTTTTAATATCATAAAACATGCATAGTACCGCTACATTACGTCAATGTCAGGCTTGTACACGAATAGTTACGACTCAACGTCTGAGGTACTTCGGTATTTTATGGTGAGTTTCAACGTTGGTTTGTTTAAACATATTATGACTTGCCATTTGTGTTTTCATTTTATGTCTGCGTATCATCAACTCAATTTGCTGTGACAATAACGTTAGAACAATGTACGTATCACTCATAATCCACAAACCAAGGATTTCGCGCTTTATAATTAGTAGCAGTTCAATTCTCACATAAGAAGAAGAGAAAGAATCCACAAAAGCACTGGATTTCAATCATGTGATGAATAATACGCAACAAAAGAACAAACTAACGGTGTAAAAAAGTCCTGAGTGCTAAATCATGGAATAAATTACTAATTATGAAACGGGTACATCGGTGAAGATGATACTAGAAGAGATGACAGTGTTTAGTGCGCTGCAAGTGGATGTGTTGCATTAAAAATTGAGCACATGCCATAACGCTCATTGCATCAAAGTGGCGACGGAGTAAAAAATATGCTATGTGGCCATAAAAATGTTTACTCAATTCAACACAGACCTATGGATGGCACCGCGTAACAAAGCGGGGATACAAACACCCCTTAGCAACATTCTTCCATCTCATCAATCCGACCAGCAACCTTTCAAATCCAAGCCCGAAACCACCGTGCGTGCACGGACCAAATCTCGCCATGTCTGTGTACCAATAGTACGGCTTAGAATCAATACCCTCGCGCTCAAAGCCATCAATCAACTCCTGGTACTCCTCCTTCCTCATTGATCCACCAAGTATTTCTCCAATATTCGGGAACAACAAGTCAGCGCTTTCAGTGTACTTCGGATCATCCGTAGTTTTCATGTAGAATGGTTTGGCTGCTGTTTCAAAGTTGGTCAGGAAAAGCGGAGTGTTGTCGGCATATGACTTTACGAGAAATACCTCTGCTGCATCGGGTATGTCATCACCTAAAACAAATTCAAGGCCGTTATCTTTCTTGTACCCCGCGTCGTTGAAGTATTTGATCGCATCTTTGTAGCTTATACGTTTAAAAGGGCGTTTGAACTCAAAAAATTCGTAATCGGGACACAGCTCCAAAATATCCTCCCTCATTTTTTCGTAGAAACCAGTTACCACCGTGTACACCATGTCCTCGATAACGCTAAGCAGGTCATCAAAGCAAATATCTGCCAACTCAGCCTCCACATGCGTATACTCTGTCAAATGCCGTGTTGTGTTGCTCTTTTCAGCCCTGTAGCTGTACACCATGCAATATGCCTTCATAGCAACAGGCACTACGGTTTCAAGATAAAGCTGGGATGACTGTGTTAAAAACGCCTTCTTTCCAAAGTAATCAAGCTTAAACAGCGTGCTACCACCCTCTACCTGTGTTTGCACGAGGGTCGGCGGCGTTATTTCCGTGAATTCCCTTTCATAAAAAAATTCCCTGAAACACCGCAACATGTACGAACGCGCCTTCAAAAAAAATATGCGCTCGGGTGTCCTCAGTGCCAAATGCCCATTTTCCAGCAAAGAAAATGCCTGCGTGTCCTTATTGACAGGAAAAGATGGCGCAATTTTCCTTACATCATAGTGATCGATGTGGAACTCAACCTCAGCACCGTCCTTGGTAAAATTTTCCTTGACAGTGCCATAGAAATCCATGGATGTCCATCTCGTAAGGTTATCAGCATCAATTTTGTGCGGATACAAACATTTCAGTATCTTGTATTGTGCGAACATGTTGATGAAACAGCCTGCCTGTCCTGCATTGCGCCTGTTGTACACCCATCCGAACGAGTGTATCTTTTGTAAGATGTGAGACTTGTTGATTTCCTTGAGTGGCACTTTTGTGTACTCAGATTTGTCAAATTCTCTTGATTCCGTCATTTTTTGATGGGTTAAAAAGTGCAGTTTCATTAATTTACCAAGCGAAAATGACCTTGATGAGAGAAAATAACGAAACCGTGAATTTACCTGTTAAGGCGCCGAGTTCACCAAAAATAAATGAGAAATGTGCTATTATATGCAAAATACCATGCAAATTTAACGTGTGTTTGTCTGAATGTACGGATAAATACATTTTTCTGTTTTTTCATTTTTTAGAATTTTTACCAATTTCCGTGGAAACTAAAAATAGTGGTAGCATGGCACCGCAATAATCAATCCGCACGTACAAACAGATGTGCTTTCATGCCTTGAACTGCACTTCTTGATTATGGATGTTCCTAAATTCATGATCTCAAATCTACCTAAAATGCATTTTTTACCATTAATAGCATTCTCTACTCCTGGATGTGTCCTCAAATTGACTAGCCCCTATTTCAGAGATGGAGAGTTTCAAGGACTACAAAATACTGTCCAGAAGAGACAACAGCACCGCACTTTTGGGCACATTAAACGGTGTACAGAGCATAGTAGTGGTACAGAACAAAGAAGTGGATCTGAAAGAAATACCAAAGATGAAAATGGAAAAGTACACGGTAATAACAGACAATCCGCCATATAGAAGTATGGAAAGTGCAAATTATTATCTACGAGTGACCAGTCCATGCACGCAGCAGCACATTAAAAAGTACGATAGGCCTGAGTACAGGAGCGAAACATACGATGAATACCTGGAATATCTGCAGAAAGATAAGTTATCAACCAACTGGATACAGAAGATAAGAGACGGAGAATGTGAACAACCTATTTACCATGATGACCGGTTCATAATCATAAATGATTACAAATGGGACATGTCTGATGTCAGTCAACTGTATTTGCTCTTGATATTCAAGGATCATGGCCTGTTTACAATCCGTGAGTTAAGTTTGGCTTTATGTAAAGAGGCGAAAATCATGATATTACAGATTTTGAGCACTAGGTATGGACTGGAGGAGAAGGATGTACTGATGTATTTCCACTATAAGCCATCATACTACGTTTTACATGTGCATGTTGTTAATTTGGAACGGAGAATGGAACCGGGCATGATGGTGGGGCGTGCTATCTTGTTGGACGATATTGTGGAGAACCTGATGATTGATCCGTTGTATTACAAGAAGAGAAAACTCTTCTACGTTGGTAGTTAGGTTAATGAATTGCGATTGATCTCCATGTTTTATGCCATTTTTTGTTATAAATCGTTGTTCTTTTTTCCCAATGCCATCGTATCTTCTGTGGATGTAGAGTAGGATGATTATATAATCTGCAAATGCTTAACAGTAAATCGATGAGTACTGTTCTGATTTGTAAGGAATTTGATGGAAATGGGGTATTTTATGAAAACCTCAAAAAATAGCACAATGGGCCCGTAGTAGCTCCCTTGTGAAGTAATGAAGCGCATATATGCAACGTTTTTATGAGATCCTCATGATTTCTTCCATGAATAAATGTTTGGGACATAAAACACGCCTCGAGAGTTAAATAAATCTTTGCGACTGTAATTAAGCATTGTACTTGGTATAGCTACGTAGATCTCATCTAAAGTTGCTATCTCTATTTTTAGGATGATTAGTGCCGTTATATTTGATTTGGTGGTGGACATTTGATCCTATCTGTGTGGATCGAGTCCGAAAATGCGTGTTGTAGATCAGCATTCCACAAAATTGTTGCATTATACCTCTATAAACTCGTAGGCTCTGGCATTTATCAATGATTTAGCATGCTACCTGGTGATTACTATTTTAATATGATGATCTCAACATGATGTGATGCACTTTTGATTGATTTAAGTTTTTTCTCAATTAATTTGGTATTTCGTGGATTTATCCAAAAATAGGGTTAAATACGCAAAATTACAATGTTGTTATCAGTTTGCTATTCTAAAGAGATATTATTCCATAACTCTGCCATTTATTTATTGCTTTTAACTCGAAATTCGATTTTTCGTATAATTAAAGGCTTTTTGATTGGCAATGAACAAAGTTCTCACCCTTTTAGTTCAAATAGAAACTTGTGCGGCACCTATTCCGGAACCAACATCACATTTACCGATCTGATTTCGCTAATTGCTTCATATTTGTACGAAAAAAGACTTTGTTTGGAGAAAGGTTGATTTTGGCACTCAAGCTTTGCAGAGAAGATGTTACACAGACCAACACTACCTAATCCCTACAATACATTGTATTTGACATGTTATCCATCAAAGACATGCTTTAAATGTCATCTTATATTAAAAAATATCTCCTTTTCAAGAACTTTCCTGTTTACACTGTCGAACACATCCAACATCCTATAAATTAAGCATTTTATCAATTTCCTGCTTTTTATTGCCTTTTTTGACTTTGCTGTCGCGTTCATACGCTTCAAAAGCTTTTGCCAATTTTAACATCACATCTATCATTTTAGCGTCCAATTGCACGTTCCTTACCATGCTATACCTGTGGCACATCATTGTTCTCGTCTTCAATACACATTTCACGCTTTTTCTCTCTCGTCGCAACTACCAGACCCGCCAAACAAATTCGTTCCGTATTACCCTAACTCCGCCTTTTCCACCTCGCTATCAAACAAGTTTGTCAACAAGCACGTCTACCAAATCTACGATACCGTATGTTTGTGCAAAACAGAGCGTATACCAGCACCAAGAACTCATTTTAAGTGATCACAATCATTGGTGTCATATCGATCATCTTATTCGTTCAGATAATTAAGCAGAGATCCAATAATGTTCAATTAAAAGCATACTGCAGATTAAATAGCAGCTGCAAAGAATTATTCCCAATCACTTTTATTAACTGCTCGTATCACAGTTGTCATAAAATTTTGATGATACAAATATTTTTATTTATGAGGTGATGTTTCGACACCTTGACATGAGTTTAGTTCAAATACATCGTAGTTGTACCTTTTTCAGAAATAAATCTGCTTAGAACTTACTGTGCCCAGTACTACCATTACATCTTAACAAATACGTGCTCAACCACCTTTTTATTGTTCACTACAACGTAAAAATAACCTTTCAATCACTTGCTCTCATCCTTCCAAGCGATTGGCCGTGCCCATTTCCTGTCATACATCGCTCTCATTTTTAATCTATCACGTCTTATAAAACGGATGATCAGCAAAGATTGATAAATGTAGGATGCGCGACAGCAGTGAAGGACAGCAAATGCTGCGCACCATGGATGAATTACATGGTTCAGGATCGCTGTTCATTAACTTACACTTTTACGGACTATTTTCTTTTAGAAGTATCCAAAAAGATGATCGGTAAAAATACTTGAGAATACCACATATAGAGTAATGTGTGTGCACGCACTCACACAGAGGATGTATTATTACATGATCTGTTGTGTGAAGAATGTGCAGAGCAAACAAAGTATTAAATGTCGTACTGCTACACGCCACATAGGTCATTCTTCATTGCTATCAAGCAAAACTCATTTATCTGTCTTACTTGTCACAACAAAATTCAAGAAGACAAAGTCAAAACAAAGTTACGCCATAGTGATTGATAGAAGAGAAGGCTCCGTTCATCAACAGCACAATGTTGTTATAATTCTTACGGTACGCCTTTAGCGCTCACCAATTCGTTTGTTTGTACTTTTTGCTTTCAAGCTGTCATATGGAAATGAAATATCATTTCTTTCGCGTAATCATTTACTTGGCTGTCACTGATCTAGGCGTATAATTCGTTCATCCTCAGAAACAAAGCGATACACATGTGTTACAGAACATGCCGTCACACAGTGACACACCACGGCAATACTGTCGCACTGCGAGGTTGCTCGCCTAGCGCAAAAGGTGTCCTATTAGGTTGATTGAATGTCAAGACGATGCTGTCATCAATCGAAAAATAAGAGCAACAAACAAATGTGACAGTTTTGATAGCACTTACAAAAATATAAAAGGAAGGCTTAGGCAAGCTACGGGATGGAGCCTGGGAAGAAGATTAATGACGTTATGTCGCTAAATGAAATGTTGGGGCGCAAGAAAAAGATGTTTGAAATAGGCTTTGTGATGGACGATAACTTGGCAAACCGCAACAGTTTGTTCAAGGCAGCCCGGTACGGCGAGAAGGACAGCGACGGCTACAAGGAAAAGAGGGGTGATATAGAACATTCCCGAGAGGGGCGATACAGGGAGTATGATAGGATTGGCTATGGAAGCGACAGGGAAATGAGCAAGTATTGTGATGATAGAGGCGAAAATGGTTGGTACAGAAACGATTGCTATAAGTATGATGGTACGGCGCGCAGGTGGGACGGCCGTGCGCTGGCCAAAGAGGATCAATCCAGCAATGTTCGCACCAGATCATTCGAGTACGATGACGAGAGCACCGATCACGCTGCACAAAGCCAAAGCTCGCGCAGAGATACGCTGGGATACGAAAGCGAGGATGAGGATGTTGTAATGGCGAACATCCTGCTTAGTTTAGCGAAGAAATAGCAGCTGAATGGTAATTTAATACGCACTAGAAAAAACCGTAAATAAAGTTCTCTACAACACAAATGCTACGAATTGGTAAGCCTGTGCTTTTCTGCGGTACCGCCTTAAGGTGATTTTGTGACAAAATTGTAATAAATTCGTGGTAAAGACTTTTGCTACCAAAACAACACCATATTTTTGATAAAACCTGCGTGTCAACTTCATAAAATATCATAACTCAGAAATGATTGGTGCTATATTCTCCGAGGATGACGTGTTTAAACAAATTCCTGTTTGAAACTTTTTTACCAAAATGTTTCAGAATAGGTAGTTGAATAAAAAACCACTGCTTTTAATACCAACATACATTTCTCAGGTCTGGGATGTGTTCATTCTATTTTACTCATGGTTCTCTTTTTGCGTTGTCTAAGCTGTTTCAATATTTTCTTTCTTGTTTCATAGTCGCAACATCTGCTCATCCATACGAGCACTTCCTCGCCCTTCTTTCCCCAACACTCGTTCATCATCTTTTTGACGAACAAATTCTTCTTCTTTGTCTCTTCATTGCCCATTAGATAATACCTCACAATTTCGATGTCTCCTTTAAACGATTCTTTGCCAAAATTCTCTGAAAAAACATCATTAATATTCATGTTGTGCTCCTTAATGATAAATAGCCTTTTTGTCACTGGCAAGCATCTTAAATTCACGCAACCATTGATAAACAGGAAGCTTTTTAGGTCTCTGTAGTATTTTTTGATAACCTGCTCAGCCATTTTGTCGTTCCTTTGCGACTGCAATTTCAATAAAATCTTCTGTATGACATTTTCATGCAGAGTAGTCAAATCCAGGCTGTGCACCAGCTCTACGGTGTTATCATATTTCTCTATGAATGATTGTACCATGTAATTGCTGTATTTGTTCGCTGCCAACGATTGCAGATCGTTTTTGATTCTTTTAAATATGATTTTAGTTTCATTTTCTCCCATGATTTTCACAAAGTGCTCCAAAAAGAAAGAATATTTCATTTCTGTTAGTGTTTCGTACGTAAAAAGAGTCTTAAGCACGTGCTTTATTATTGACTTCTTGGCATTTTGAATGTCTCTGGCTAACGAATACGAGTGGCCGGTATCACTATGGCTTCTCCTTCCCACCTTCTGATTCTCTACTCCGCTTTCACACTCACTATGCGCACCACCGGACCGCAAATACACGAGTACCGTGTTCAAAACGCACTCTTTCTCAAACTCAATGTTCTCCGGCGTGATAACGGTTTTATATCCCATCTCGATCATTTTTCTCACGACAAAGGTGGCATGGCCATCATTAAAACACTTTTGCAGATTTGCATCCATGTAATCCGTAAGGAATGCAAACACACCTTTTCCGACAAAGACCTCCAAAACTTTGCTTCCCAGATTATGGTAAATCATGTTTTCGATTTTCATCCTTTTGGAAAGTTCCACGAGCTGCTTGTCATCACATATTTCCACAATTTCTTGAATTTTGTCGGTTGTTATTTTTGAGACGGATAACTCGGTTATGTATGGCTTTATCTGCAAGCATACCCGTGAAAGTGTTGGTTTGTTGGCAGCCAGAATGGACATATCAAGATCTTTCAAATAAATAGCGGTTTGCTCCATCGGTTTTCTGGTGAAATGGGTCAGAAATATCGGAAGAATTAAAAACGGTACAAAGTCTGGCGGCTGCAAATATCACCACTACTTGGGATGCTTTCGTTGTGCAATGTGTCAGAAACAAAAGCACAAGCTTTCAAATTAGAGCTCGCCTCTAATACTAATTCTTTGCACTTGTTCATATTCTGAAGACTAACAATCTTGGCATCATAAATTACACATATCAACGCAATAAAGTGCATTAGTGTTCTTCATGATCTATGCATGCTCTACTTTGATATGGTCGTACGAATAAATAATACCAAAACACATATACCGCTATTTTAGAGCGTGGTTCTCACGATTTACAATTTTTAAATAGCAAGGAATTGCACATCTACGTTTGAATCTTACCATGGACGTGAATTAGAAGTTTACTCTTCTATCACACGCTACTCTCATCGTTACGGTCACCACGGGATACTCTGAAATAACCGAGCACATTTGTTAATACCATTTTTCTAGCAATCACATCCAGGGACCTATTCGTCAATTCATTGCTGCACGCCGGCATAATATTTTAGCGTATGCTTCGAGTAGGTACATCCCAGTATGGACCGCATTTTTGAAATTAACCTATTGGTGCCATCGCAAAGTTTATAGCTATTGTACACGAACATCTCCGTTTTCAAGTCCTTTTCCCTTTCATTGTTGGTACACAGCATAAAAAATGCTAGAAAGGATGCCAGATTAAACCCCTAAGGCTTGCAATTCACTGTTCGCTTTTATATTTCCAAAACACGTTCATTTATCACTTTCAGAGCTGTTCTATAAATGAATGATTTCTCTTGGTACTGAATACGGCACGTTTCCGTTCAAATATCACAGGAAAATGACTAAATGTCAATGATCAATCAAAAGCATAAATTTAATTAAATTTGATCTTTTATCATCGAAGGTCGTACGCGTAAAATTATGGTAAGTCTGTTGCGGCCAAAACCCCCCTACTTAAAAAATTCTATTTGTGCCCATTTAATGTACCAGTTCTGTCCTTTCTGTAGGACGCTTCTCCTTATCAACAGGATGAACGGCACGACCTCGTTCTGCTGTCGCACATGTTCGTATTCTGAATCAGTTGGCCGTATTCACGAACGAATAGTGTTTGACAAGGAAATTAAGGAAAGAATCGTGTGGAAAGAGGATGTAATGCGTAGCATGGCCAAATGTGAGAAAATATGTGAGAAATGCGGATATAATACCGCTACTTTCTATGAAATGCAAACACGCAGCGCAGATGAGCCCATGACCATTTTCTATCAATGTCTGCAATGCAAAAATACGTGGAAGGAGTAGAAATGCTCCCACACGCAGGTTCAACCCAATAAAATATAACAATAAAGATGTTTGCACAAAAACATCTTATATTTGACCCGTTTAGCAGGAACACGCCAAGCTTGTGCACCTTTTCTCGTAGAGGCATCGCATCACGGCATGCATCAGCAGTTCGTTCAGTTCTTTTCGCTAATGTGCGTTTATTCACTTTCTCATACCGCATCATCTAAACAAACTTTTTTAGTCCGCTGGGATGGCCGTGGCCACCGTAGTTCTTGGAGGATATTGGCGAGCCATACTGTGCAACATTCTCGCACCGCAACAGAAAGGTACGCCCGGTATGCTCAGATCGCTTTTTTCGCTACCGAAACTCATGTTCTCTAGTGCGTGGCGTACCACCGGTTAACACATATGGCAGGAACACTTCGCTCGATGACCAAGATGTCGTTAAAACGGGCGTGACCAGAGCAAAAGCAAGATCTTGAAAACACAAAAGCATTTAAACTCCCAACGATCTTTAATAAAACCTTATAATTCTTCACGTGCCTTCTTCTCGGCCTCAGGCACAGCCTCTGCAGGCTTAGCACCAGCAGCAGACATCAAAGGCATTACCTCCCTTTCAAACTCCTTCTGCCTTAACGACACATCATCGGAAGATATACCACTGAGCGGGTTCTTCGCATCCTTGAGGAAATCCTCAAGTTTTGTGATCGCCTTATAGGCCTCGACACGAACCTCCTGCGCAACTGTGGGTTGCTGGGCTGCCGAATTGACCACATCCTTGTAACTCTCCAATTCCTTGACACGCTGGTCCTTCACCTTCATCCTCTCATCCGCAGCCTTGTTAGACTCACGGTCCTTCAACATTTCACCTCGTCTCGCATCACTGAGCTCGTAATCAGTCTTTACAAATTTGACCTTCGCCTCCTTCTTTGTATGCTTATCGACTGCCGTTACGTGAATGTCACGCTGCTTATCAATGCTTATCGTTACCTCAATTTGCGGAACACCTCGCGGCTGCGGCTTGTCAAGCGTTAGCTCAAACTCACCAAGATGCATGTTTTTGTGATATTGGTATCGCAGACCCTGCGCCACACGAATGTTCACCTTCATTTGGTTGTCGTGTCCCGTTGTGAATGTCTTGGTCTGTGTTGCGGGGATTGCACTCTCCATGTCGAGAATGCTCTCGAACGTGTCTGAATCTACGCATATACCGATGTTCATCGGCACCACATCGATCAGATGAATGCTGTCGTCCTGCAGATAATTGAGCATGTTCGCAGAGTAGTAAGCAGCGCCCTCTGCAACCACCGTATCCGGGTTCAGCTCAGCACTCACCTTGTCACGGCCAAATATTTCGTACAAAATGTTCCTGACGAACGGAACTCGCGTACTACCACCAACAAGAAGCACCTTCTTGATGTCGTCCTTGTCCTTATCAAGCTTCTGCCTGTACTTGTACAGAATGCCATCCACTTCACCTGTCAGGTAGTGTTTGACCCTCTTGGCGACTTCGTCGCACACCTTGTTAAACTCGCTCGTCTTCAGCTTGAATGTGAACACCTTGTCTCCCAAGTAGATGAACTCATCTTCAAACTCAGCATCTCCGCCCTCCTCAAGCTGCATCGTGCACAGACTTATCTTGAATCTCTCAGCAAAGCCTCTCAAACGCAGCTTCTCCACATCGTTCAGCAAAATACTGCTCTTTTCCATGAGGCCGTAGAAGTACTTGAAGAGACAGTCGTTTATATTTTCACCACCGAGGAAGTTACTGCCCGAATAGGTCTGCACCTCGAGAACACCTCCCTCATACTCAAGTATGGACACATCCAAGGTACCACCTCCAAGATCAAACACCAAGAACGAGTCCAAAGCCATGCTTCTATCCTTGTTTCTGACCTGGTACGCATACGCAGCGGCAACCGGCTCGTTGACAGTACGCGAGAGGCTGATTCCGGCAATGGTGGCCGCCGTCCTCGTAGCCTGCACCTGCATCTCCGAAAAGTACGCAGGCACAGTTATAATCACATTGGCGACGTTCTTTGCGCCGTAGCGGTCGTTTACCACCTTCATCAGATGCTCAAGGACATACGCCGACGAATCAATCGCCGACACCTTCTTGACAACCTCACCGTTAACATCCTTCACCAGCATGTAGATACTCTTCTTTGAAGGATCTTTCTCGTTAACAACCTCCTCAAGAGCATAGGTCACCTTATTCTTGATTCCACTCAGCGATGGATCATCCTGCAATGAGGACAAGCCCATATAACGCTTGAAAGCATACAGATATGTGTTTGGAGAGGGCGTCCTCATATTCTCGTTGTAAACTTCCCAGCCCGTCTTGGCCATGTACTGCTGTTTCTTTGTAACCTCATCTCTGTAGGGCAAAAATTTGACAATACTTGGCAATGTCTGCCTCCCCTGGCCAAGATCGAGTATTTCCATCGATGTGGCTCCACTCGACCCCACAACACCCACACAAGAATACGTCGTACCCAGATCGATACCGATCGCCCATCCCTTTAGAAGGCTATCATCGGCATCCTCCCTGTCCTCGGGGATGTCGTCTAGCTGTATGGCCTCACACCAAACCGCCCCCAGGACGGTAAATGCGAGAATGAAAAGCTTGAATGTCCAAAGCATGGGTCAAAATTTTTACCAGTTTTTATATTTTTGGAGTTTAAAAATCAGCCAATAGAATTTTTACATTTGTAAAATAAATGAGCAATCAACAGGTCTAAATCAAAGCATATGCGCGAATCACAGGCGAATATACTGGTAATGCATATGTTTGTTGGCAGCACGAATTTGTTTAGATTAGTAAATTAATTTATTTTTACTACACCGGAATTTACACTAAAAATACGTAATTAAAATTTTATTTCATAAGGTGTTGTACGTTGAGATTGTGTTGGTATCATCAAAGGTACGAATATTCTACTGCCTGATAAACGACCGGAATCGTTTGCCATCTCCTGGTATGCCATACTTGCATACATGATCAGCTGGAAGGTATGCATAGTGTTGTATTGCCTTCTGGTCTTTTGTTCCGCAGGTTCGTATTGATAACGTGATTTCAGAGCTTATCCAAAAGTTTTAATTGACTAAGAGGGTTGTGAATGTAACACATCAGATAGAGGGTCATGTTACCGATAGTTTGCAAAAATGAGCTGCAGGGAAGCTTTTCTGGCCTTGCTCTTTATTAATTCACTTCAAATTTAGCCTTTGGCTGATAAATTAAACAATTCAATTCCAATAATACTTTTAACCACACCCAAAATAAAGCATTGTAACGAAGGAATGAATTTATTGACTTAATTCAAGCAATTTAGGAATTGATTGTGCAATATTGAACATGTGCACCCATAAAATTCGATTTTGAACGAGCACAGTTATATTTACGGAAGATGCTCCTCCAAAAAGCGATTTAAAACGTAAAGTGCTTATTAAAAATCTTCTTTTGGTCACATTCTGTGATGCTTTAGCTCAAAAACAGGAATAAAACGAATTATGTAAATATTTGGTTTTTTATTACCTTGTTGTATCCCAGTTTATACAAACAAACCGCAGATAAGCACCGGATATCAACTCGTAGTAACATGAGATGTTCCGTTGGGCCCATCAATCAAGGCGTATTCGTTTCATGAATAGTGTTTCGTACTTTGGGTGTTAAATGTGGTGATCATTCGCTCGTAACTTAGCGAAACTCTTGGCATTCAAGCACGCTATGTTCTCTGGCACAGCTGCAGTATTTTTGCAGTCTGCTCCGCCGAGAAACATTTGGATTGTGAATACGGCTTTATCCGGTGTGGTGTAATAGGTTAATGAGACATATCGTGGAAGAACGATCACTAGTGTGATTATACCAAGATGTCTTTTTTTATCAAAGTTCATTTATTTATCTCCACACACAATAACGCCCAACTAAACACGCTTTGCCAATACGCTGAGACTAAGCGTGGCCACTTGTCTGTAGTTCATATTTTTCTGTTGCAATTCGTGTAGTAGGAGCTTTTACAATTATCATGGATAAGGATGTGATATCGATGTTACTTCGTACAATTCGCACCAATTGATGTTTTAAAGAATTTCTATCTGCAACCGTGTTCGTTTAAGATTGTGAACAGTTCTTTGCATCGTTTAGTAAAATGTGTTTACCGTACCTCCGTATTACAACGGTACATCGCATAGGATTGCGTAGTTAATGAAGCGAAATAATGAAAATACGAAATTTATCGTTTTTGATAAATTAATCACAAAAATTAAATTGGACATCTTTGACATCACCAACGGAGCCTCATATCACTTGTGTTGTTCAAGGTTGGTAGCTGCGCACCTAGTGATCACACATTTGGTTGTTATTTTTTGATGAACTCTTTCGTGTTCGGACATGTACCATATTTGCAGATGTTGAATATGCACCACGTTGCGTATTAACACCGTTCTACTTGAAAAGTACTAAAACATACGATTTAGTAAAAAGTAGTGGCATTCGTTCATACAAGCTGTGGTTACGAGTGTTTCTTGGTGAGAGGATGTCTAAGACAAGATTTTATCGTAGTTCCCGTTGTACATCAGCACATTATGTGTTGGAGTGATGCTGAACGATTCTTTTATGAAAATTAAACTTCTACTCGGTTTAAAACAATCTTGAACGGAACAGAGTGTGGCACGGGAAGACCACACATCCAAATTTTATCAATTCATAGCTCCGTTTACCAAATCAATCTTTCGCCAATACTTTTTAAACAATTTTGCATGCCATGTTCAACAGCATTGTGGCTAAGATGGCAGAATAACGTGTTGTTAACTCTAAATGTGCACCATCCCTGCACACATCATCAGCATGTTCTGTGATTGACCAAACATGGCTCAGATATGAAAATGATGGTTATATCAGTATGAAGGTAAGCGTTTATTCTACAACTTATGATTTTATCGGTTGATTGACCCGAAGTGCTCTTCAAACGTGTGAGCGAAGCACTGTGTGAACATGTGGTGGTGGCCTTGCAGGTGTTAGTACGCATCCGTACGATGCTCGTTACTACCATTTTTATTGGAAGCTTTTCCAATAAACGGCTCGTTGACTCTTATCCTCGCATTCTTCCTAGGAACATCCATGGCTTGTTATAGTATCGTAACCAGACATAGCTCAGTTATTGTGCGTGTTTGACCGCGTTTCTTTTGTCATAGCCGCTGCTGCCTGTTTAGCACTGTGCTATTAATCAGGCTTTAAACCGATAAAGTGCTATGATAGTGTGAAGCGTAAAAAACGCTTTTACATCGTAGACTTCGGTAACTGAGATGTAGCAGGTAAATTTATTTAGTTCACGCTTTTGTTCGACTCGGCACCGTGGTTGATCCAAAATAATGTTACATTAAGTGCATCTGTGCCCTCTTTTGCCCAATTTAAGGCTATGTGGATTCATTTACATGGTGCCGCACCCAATGAGAGATTATAAAATAACTAGTAAAATAATATTCGACAAATCCACCAGGAACACGATATACTGATCATAGATCATCATTTATTTCAGCTTTTTGAGGAAATTTCTAAACGCCTTCGGATCCTCTACAAAATACTCGGCCTTGCTGATCTTTTTACCAACCACAATACCTACAAAACACTCACGACCGAACATCTTCTCGTCTGTAGTGTCATCGCCAGCACATAACCCGAAATCACAGTTTTCATATTGCTTGATCACGTAGTCTTTTCCAATATCCCTGCAATTCGCCTCTACGATACACTTTCCAACCTTCACGTTGGCCCTACCCTTGAGTGCCTGCACCAGTGCCTTTCTGCACCGTTCAGCCTGTTCGTCCTTGTAAGAATCATCGGCATTGCGATAATGGAAGACCAACGCCGTGTTCTTCTCTTCAAGCTTGGTGTTTGGTGTGCATGCAACGTACTCGTTAATTATCTGGCGTGCCACGTCCATCCACGACAAATCAACATCTCGCCTGATCCACTGCCCCTTTTTGCGGTAAAATGCGCTATGCTCGGCATATAGTTGTATCTTCGGGTTGGTAAACCACTTCTCAGCTTCATCTTTGCTTCTACCGGTTGCGATTACAACCGTTGTATTCTTCAAATCGGTAAGGTACTCCAGCAAACTGATTATTTCAGCAGAGGGAGCAGCATCTGACGGAACCGGTACTATTTCTGTGAGTGTTCCGTCATAATCCAAAACAATAACACGTTTGTTTGCCTTCTCAAATGCTTGCAGAATCTTCGTCTCTTCCAGCTGCTTTGGTTCCTTGTCTTTCGCAACATTCTCCCTGTATTCCATCTTCTTCGCGAGATCGCTGACCGCCATACCACGTAGTACCTCCTTGTTACGTGAATGCATGGCGTCTGTACCAAGCGATAGTCCCTCTCTCATTTTTGCAAGCAACTCGTTCGAATCATTCGGGTTTACGAGCAGCGATGTGAAATGATTGACAGAATTGACCGAAAGAACAAATGGTGCGCTGTTCACAGCAACAAAATCGCAGCATCCCTTGTTTGTGACTGAATGATCGAACAGAAAAAGGCCCAAGTCCGCAGCTGCAAGAAACGAGTAGTATTCCAGATCGTTGGTTGGTGTAACCGTAAGCACACTGTCTGTCCCTCGCGTTGTTGTGATAAAGCTCACTCCCTTTGATATCTCTATCCGTTTCTGAGCATCAAGTTGATTGGAATGTGTCTCGATCTGCACCAGGACAGCTTCTGTATCACCAAGCAGTTCATTGAATGCGATAAGAACATTCTCAGATAGTTCACTGTTTACAGTATTTAGGATTGTTAGGATTATTTTTTTGCCCTTGTAATTCTCCCTGATTTGGGCCACACGCTCTTCCATCCTAGGGTTTCCTTTTATCATGTTAATGTAATCCATATCAAGTCCAACCTGCAGAATCTGTATGCTAACGGACTGTTCGTCAAAATTTGGGATGTTGATTGCGCACAGTTCCAAGAATGAGGTCACTTCATCTGCATTCTGGAAGACCAGATGAGCCTTCAAAAGCGAGTTCAGAATTTCCATGTTGTTATAAACACACTTGAAGAATTCAATCTTGAAGAACGGCGTCAGGAAGACAACACTCACCCTTATGTTATCAAAATAGCCTGGCAGCAGCCAGAGCTCCGGGTCCATAATGATTATTTCGTCGTTCTTTTTTACCGCGTTCTTCAGCACCTTGTAGTACGATTCATTGTAACTTACGAAGTCCTCGTACATAAGTTTTTCATCATAATCCTTGAAAAGAGCATCCCACTCTCTTGCAAACGCCAAATATTTCAGATATTGCGCAAACCTACAAGGCTCATAGTTGTACTTCTTTAAACTGGGCAGCACGGGCAGACAATGCTTGCTTTGAAGAAAAGACTTTATCTTGGCCTTGTATTCTTCCGTTAGAATATCACTTACCTTCTTCTTGTAGTTGTCAGGCACGCCCACAAACACTACATCGCTAAGAGTGCTTATGAACGATGCGTAGCTCGGGTTCTTGTAGCATTTTATGAAGCTCGGCTCTTTAGTCTTGTTCAGCGCCTTCAAACCACTCGACCTGTTCGTATTGCTCGAGTCGAGCAGCAGCGAACAAGCATTCTCAATTATCGCGTCTTCTTTCTCTTTATCAACTGTTATTCCATATATTAATCGACTTACAACAACGTATTTACACATTACTGTTACCAAAACCATTCCTTTTAAACCTTAAAAGGAGTGATCCTTCGCTTTAATAGGTCACGTGGAGTTTAAAGTGATAAATAACAAGTCAATGATAAATCAGCAAACAAATGAATTGGCACAGCACTGATCAAAACAGTTCGTAAAATTTGGCAAAGCGTCAGACTAAGCCTGTGTAGGAAAGGGTATCAAATTAAAATCTGATGTTTCTTGATCCACTATATCAAAAAATATCGGCAAAATTTATATGAAATCATTTCTTTGTCATTCGTTTATGTTCAAATGATTTATGTACTGATCATTTTTAGAGGTTTGTACGTAATTATGTTGCTTTCTCCAGGTTTATTTTTGGACAACAGATCTGAGATTGTTTCTCTGCCATACCTGAACATATATTTTTTATAGATCGCAATCATTGTGGTAGCCACAAAACATGTTCTGAATCGATTATGTCTTTTAGGCCATAACAATCGTTATTTAAGACTGAATACTCGTCCATACTGACAGTATTATATCCTGGCATTGAGGTTTATAACTCCCATTCCTCTTGATATTCATGATATTGCACCTTGAGTTTTACATTTGATGCGGTAGCACCCTTTAAAATGGCATATGTCACCAAAGCTGACATGAGGGAGTTAATGGTCGCAATTATATAACTAAACACAAAAATAAAGCATACCATGTTAATATGACCCGTAAGCATTCGATCACAGCTGTTGACACGAACGACGTGCAATTTTATCGTGTATGCTTATTTGTCCCAGCAGTCCTCCTTCTTTTTTCATCCAAAGTACGATTATCATTTCTTCTTTTTCTCATTTGTTCGCTAATCATCCACCTATAAATTCCACAATAGTCAGAGCGGATTACCCAAATTCAAACAATTGGTGTGATGAACCACAAACTCGAACACATTTTTAAATCTCTGTAAAAAATATATTTCAATAATTATTCTGTTAGGTGATCACATCCCAGTAGATAAGCTTTAGCTATTCATAAAGCGGTATAAATGGTGATTTGGAACTAAAGAACCATTCTTTTGATGGCAAAACATAGCCGCACCATCTACATGCACTTAACTTACGATATATCAATCAATTTTAACGTAAATAGTACATCATAGCATCACGAGTGTTCATTTTTATTCCTACGTAAACGATCGTTCTTTAAGGTAACTATCAGGGCTTCCTATTACATCACCGAACACCAATCGATATGTGTTAAATCACAATTTCGGCTAAAAACTGATGTTCAATCCTATCAAAACATAAAAAGTACAAAAATTAGGACAATTTTACGATGAAAGAGTAAATTCTTAACGAATAACCAGATTTGGACTGTAAACGGATGAAGTAGCGTAAAAAGTTTGTTGCTGAAGCCATTGCCATCTTCATGCCAACATAAAGCACCAATTACAGTTTAAAAATATCACCAGTCATACATTACAATAAAAGTACACACATTGCGATATGTCCCGGTGCCGATACCAAAATTTGAAGAAAAGCTTCGTCTAACTATTCGGTATTAAACTGATCCATGTAAACAAAAGTACAAAACCGAGTCATATTCTTATTTATTGATCTCTCTTTCGATATAATTAACAATTTTTTCGCATTTATCACCTATCCTGTCGTACAAGGTCTCATCAACCTCTCTAACGAGAACCATTTTGTCCACCTTGTCAATTACGCATTTCATCCGTTCATTCACCAGAAATTTACCGAGATCAGCCTCTAAGTACTCTTCCGACACACCAAATGTCAGCGCCATGGACTCCAACCCTATTGAAGAGTAACTCTCGAGCAATTGGTTGTACGAGCGTATCTTAATCTCGTTTATGAAAAAATGTATCTTGTCGCCAATGAAAATATCATCTAGAAAATGTGACGAAAAGGCAATTAAACAGGGAAATATCTTGTCATAATAACAGTTGTAGATGGACTGCGCCAAATCATAAGCCAAGTTTACATGGTGCTTCACTTCAAGCACATCCGTGCTTTTGAGAACCCTCTCGTGGAGCTGCACTCGACTGAAAGAAAGAAGACCACAGAAAATTGTATAGTTGACCGCGGTTTCGTAGCTATACAGTTCGCTGCACTGAAATGTGGCCAGTGATGAGGCAAAAAGATCAGCTGCCTGTTCATAATTACTTTTCAACAGGTTATAAAAGGCGTAATACACCTTAAACTTGTTTTTTCGGTCCCAATCACAGTCTTTCTCACTCAGTTTCAACCCTACATTTATTTTGTCATGTATCAGGGAGTAGTCCTTAAATATCATTCCAAGCCTAATTTGACAAAGAACAATGTCCATTTTTGTGGATGTGGTCAACCCTACATCACTGCTTTCCTCTAAAAAAGAGGAAAGATCTCCAATCTTCGCCAGGTACTCCAATCGTTCCTTTTTAATATTCTTGCCATCATCTTCAGTCTGCTGCTCAGATATCCTCCGCAGAACCTCCTCGTTTTTTTTAAGGATTGGATGATACACCTCTGGTTCATCCGGCAGTATGTGCTTGTTGCAGAGAGCATGGTACATGTGCCCCATTTCATTTTCTATTAAATAGTTTTTCAGTTCTGTATGATCACCCTCTTTCGACTTCTTTATTTTCGCCAAGATCTCAAGCGTGGGCTCCTTGAACTCCGATTCCATGCAGGGGTGCAAATTTACGTGTTTTTGATAAATTGTTTTCATTTGGAATGGCAACAAAGATAAATGACAGCCATTTCTGGAGTAGCAAGCGAATTTATTACCAATAACAGCTACGGTTGACAATATTACATTTTCAAATTAAAGTTGTCTTTATCAGCAGCAAGTCAACATTGTTTTGACTGTAAACAGCTGTCAATTAATTTGTTGTATCTCTTAACGTACACGCCTATTTACTGAAGTAACACATCTCGTATGGCTTAGCATCCCAATTTCCACGCTAATCTAACAAGTACCTCAAACTGCAATGAATATGATTAAATATTTAAATTGGCTGTCATCATCAGAATAACGGGCTAATAACACAGTTTATATCCACCTCGTATTCTTTTTGTACAAGAAAATGAAGCTTGGTCCTTTGAACATTCTCAGTTTGTAAATCATTTTATTGTTTTTGCCATACTTTTGTTTTGCAAATTTAAATGGCCCCCAGAATGGAGGACAAAACCAACAAAATTCTCAACACGCGCACCATCAGAATAGAGAACACGCCAGATACATTCAACATCACCAGCATAATAGATTTAATAAAAGATTGTGAATTAGAATCCATAGTCGTAGAGAATGGTGTTTATTATTTAAACTTCTTCGAATACTTTGTTTTTTACATAGCGTATAATGAACTGATAAAGGAAGGAAACGTCGGCGAGGATATAGCTATAAGTTACGTTGAAAGCGGTGCTATGCCGGCGAACAAGCTGCTTGCCCATCAGGCTGGTGCCTCACGAAGCATTTATTTCTCTAATATTGATGATAATATGGACAAGGAATACTTCGAAAGTATTTGTATGAAACACGGAGAGATAGAAAACATGAAGATAAGTAAAGAGAAAAGACATGTACAGATAAGGTTCTACAAGTTTGAAAGCGCCATGAGCTGCATGGAGAGCCTGCACAAGGGCAACGGGAAGAGTAGGCGGTACGGGTTTCACAGGATGAAATCGCACAACAAGGCGTTCCACTGCAACAGAACACTATATCTGGGTAACGTACAGAGCGAAGTTACGGCATCAGGTGTTCTCAACCACTGTCGAGGCGGTGCAATCTTTTCTATAAAGTTTTTAAGGGAGAAAAAGTGTGCTTTTCTTACTTTTATAAATCCACATGCCGCAGAAGCATTTCTTCATAACTGTTCGCTCAACCCACTCACCGTTAAAAAACACAGGATTAAAGTTACTCACGGAAATAATTCTAACATTCCCATAAACATGATGCTTGCGCTGTACCATGGTTCAACAAGGTCAATACAGGTAAAAAATATCGATGATGTTCTTGATATGGAGCAGATCGAAAGTGTGTACAAGGAAAATGGTGCTGTAGTCTACAATTTTCTATCGCTGTATGCGGCCACGAAAGCAATGGAAAACTTAAGGAGTACTTGTAACGAGGATCAGGTCATGTATGTCCCCGATAGATGTGATATTGTCAATTCGACCGAGGTGATGCTGTACATGCACTACAATGAATTTATTAAGAAGAATTAAAGATTGTCATTTTGGCTACATCCTGAGAATTTTGCCTTTTTATCGATGTTTTACCTGTCTGCGCAATAAACGGCCCATTAAATATTTTTCGCTACTTTTATCGTGTTACTGTGTTTTTTACACGGTTGTACCGCTATCAGGTGTTATTTTTGCGTCAAACAAAGGCTTTAGCGGTTCAAAGAGTTGTAATTGATCCTTTTTACGACGAATATCGCTATTAATTCTGTTTGCTCCATATGATGTTTTCAAACGCTATTCGACAGAAGAATAGCTTCTTATTCAACAGAGAATTCTCCAGGTTGATAAACATGGTGAGTATTTTGAGTAGGCATGATACAGGATTTCATGACAACGTACAGTATTGTTTATTAGAACTAGTTGGATATATGTGATAGAACAGCTTCTTGTCTGTACTACTTGTTCACACAGATTATTTACGTACTTTGGCCGAAGTTACTCCTTGCTAGCGTTTTTGTGATGCATTCTCAGCGTAATTTTTGGCATATTTATCGGTTTGATCGAAGTACCTTCACAGAAAATCTGCCGGACCTCTAATTTATAGGATAACTATGACTCATGAAAATGGATTAACTCGGCCAAAACTTACAAAAACGCGGTTTGATGAAGAATTTTTGTTGAAATAAACTGCACATCAGCATCCAAAAACGATATATCGCGGTAATGAGTAGTGCGTCATGTTATTTAAGATAGATCCTTGATGTGATGAACTGCTGTAAGGCCGTGTTTCTCTCTGCAGTGATCAATTCATAAGCTAATTTGCTCGCCATTACTTATTTGAGTGTTTATCGCTAAATCCGTGTAATACGAGAGCCTTCTGTTACAACGCGTTAAACCAATGCGGTACTTCAAATTGACCCTTCATTGTGTTTGTTGCCATCAATTCAGAGGAGGTGCTAAAAAAACAGCAAGAAGTTGCCCAAGAGAAATCGATCATACTGCGGTTATACAAGAATTGCTGTAAATCCTTCAAATGTGACATATTACACTACAAAATAAGGAACAAGGAGAACACAGAGTTGTACAAGCACTGCAAATACTATTTTCTTATCAAGTTTATAATACTGCACAGCTATGATGAACTTGTCAGTTCTATCGACTTGAAATTGATTGTTAGCGACGAAAAACTTTTTCTTTATCTGCTAGAAAAGGTGATCGATGACTCTGATCTGGTCAGAGCCCGTAAGATGCTTATGTTTGCCAAAAAGCACAAGTATTTTAACAGAAAATATTACGACTTGAAGGAAAGGTACAAAAGAGTGTGCAGACGGGCAAGAAAGTTTGCTTTATACGAGTAAAAAGTTTGTGAGGTGTTGTATACGAATGTGATGGTGTTTAAAAAGTATTTGATCTGTTTATTATGTAAATTGCGCTGAGTTTGACGTGAAAAGTTTTTATTACCTTGGCTTGAGTGCTGCACAGCGTATAATTCGTAGTTCAGATGAGCCTGCCTCGTAAGAAAACATAAACCATATTAATGTTCGAATCAAGGATATTCTGCTAGATCAAATTTCATACGCTCATCCGTTGTAAAACCATATGATTGTCTTGAACAGCTGATCACTTCGTCATAAAAACATTTTATTCGGCTCTCGTATTCAACCCGAGCACACCATGAACTGTAATAGCCATCTAACACGCGATGTAGGGTGGTGAGCCTTGCAAGATTTATCCACACCAAGAGAGATTTTTACGACAGGCAGCAGCTCTGCATCGTGACAGAGCCGTTCACAACGTGCACGCAGCACATGACATAGTTAACAATTCTCCAAATATATCATTTATTCTACTTCATAAACAGCAAATTGCACAAGCTCGTTTTTAAACACTTTCTCATCAAGATTCTTTTGTTTAATTTTGTTAACATTGATGTCATTAAAACAGTACCACTTATCACATCTCCTACCATAAACATAGGAATGGTTTTCTAATATTTCAGTTCGTTTGACTTTAACCGGCACTTTATCTCTAACAATGATGCTTCTGAGAAAATATTTTTTTGAATTTACTGTGACTTCGGGATCGCATATGTACTCGTAAGTACTGAAATCGAAATTTTTGAGTTTCTTCTGAAATTTTATTATTATGATCTGTGAGAAAACCACGCTTTTATCCATACTGGAGTTGTTAAATGTTTCTTGCAAAAGCCCTAAGGCACCTATTCGCGTGTTGTTTTCCAGTATGGGGCATCGACAATAGTAGGACGGTACATTAATGTACGGATTTATCTTCTTACAATCGTCGTAGGAAAGGAACAAATTACTATCAGGAAATTCTGTTGTTATATTTCTGGCCAGATATTGGTAAATTACCGCTGGATCATTTCCTCGTTTATTCCAGTCAACGTTTTTGTGATCTCTAAAAATTTTTTTGTAGTGTGGCAGCGGATCTATGTGCGATCTGCTTTTTATTTTTTTAATCAGTTTTACGAGGTTGTAGACCACAGGGTTTTGGCTCTTATCCTTTTTTGTAATTGTTGTTGCAAAATATTTGCAGCTCAGCAGGCTTTGAATAGTACTATTTATGTAACATACCCCCGTCTTATTGTCTAGTTTGCAGACTCCCTTTGGGCGGAACACCTCGTATAATATGTAGACTGAAGCCACGAGCGCGATTATTCCACCTATGATCAGTATGTAGAGGTATGTTTGCTTTTTAGACATTGATGCCCTTAGCACCGTTTCTTTTATATTTTTTAATCATACCCCGAAGGGATATTTCTTTAATATGGCTATTTGCACGAATTTAGTTACATTACATCGTATTGTGAGTAGCAGGGGAATGATAAGTAAATTTATTTACATTACATCGTATTACATAAAAACTGTGAAGAAGACTATGATCATCTTTTTTGCACTATATCACATTTTTAATAGGTTAAAATATCACAATTAACCATCATTAATCAGATAAAATACGTACAACAAAGAACACTCCTGTCTAATCCTATACTTACTAATTTATCTTGTTTTGGGAGTTAGCTCATCACTTATTTGGTCATGTTGGGATAGAACATTAGGTACATTGCGATGAATGGTCACATACCGTGCAATTTACTAGTAGGGTGCACGTACTATCCATTCTGAACATTTTATCATTCGGTCCTATACCAAGCTCTTAATTATTATTTCTCGTATGGCTAAGGATTGGTGCTATTCTTTGGGAACGGAAATATGGTTTTTACACAAAGTACGTTTATTCACCTCCTCTATGAATATACTAACCACCTACGGTAGCACAGGGCTGCAACGGGATGCTTATCTAAAAGTATCGAACGAAAGAAGTGCCGAAAATTGGTATGTTAAAGCATCTTTGAACCGCTGTAAAGTAATTTTAACGCATCAGGGTCTGTCGATGCCTATATATTGATGATAGACCGGTATGAAGGCTCTTAGTAAGAAGTTAAACACTGGCACCAGAACTGCAGTCCTGTTTGTTCTTCAACAACTTTATTTAAAGCTGAGCTTGGTCACAAAGCGTATGTGCTATTAAGTCTGGCATAAGAAGGCATCATTAAGAATGGCACTCTTCACGTTAGAAAATGGCGAATACCACTATTTTTTGTTCCGTACACACGCTCAGCACTAATGCGATATTTCAACGAATGGAAATTTAATGTATACTACCAACGCTCGCCCAAGGATGATTCATCTGTTTTCACACACTTCATTTTAATCTTCGGGCCCAGTTCTTTTAGTCCAATTTTTACGCACCGACCCTCATTTCTCAGAATTTTGTAGTGCCTCACGTAAATGCACTCACCATCCCTCGTAAAATTTATGACTCGCTCTACACTATCCACGTTTTCGAAATGCTGCCTGCCAAACAGTTTCTTAAACGCATCATCCTTGTCGAACCCACTGAACGTCAGCAAGGCATCGCTCTTGTAATTACCATTGACAGAATAAGCATCAAATCCCATAACCTGCAAATAAATGGTCATCTGTTCGTTTGCTTTGCTCATTTTTATGTGTATGCTGTTCTTAGACTCTTTAAGAACTATGAAGGTGTCTATACGATACATTTCGGCCAATTTCTTGTATAGTTTGAAGTCAAACTTGTTGGTCTCGTTGAATCGTGTGTTTGTATTAGGTTCAAACATTCTCTTGATCGAATTTAACAAGATCTTTGCTTTCTTTGATATTTTGCCGTATCTAACGATGAACTTGATCTGATCCTCGACATTCTCTGACATGGGTAAACCGAAAAGATTCGAAAAATTATAAAAGCACCAATAACGAATAATCGATTGAACAAAATGAACTAAACAGCTTGAAAACAACAAACTCTACGATAAAACATTCGCTGTCATGGTGTTTTTAGTTACTTCGTGCAGTAGGAATGAAAATATTGGGCACTCTTGGTGAGGGCACGGTAATTGTTATTTGATTGAAGCATTAGATCGGCCCAGTATCGCTTCATACAAAACAATTTGACTTATAAACGGGGTATACATGACAAATCATCTATGCTGTCACGTACAAACTTAGTCTGCTATTTTTACGCCGTAGACCGGTATTAAACATATTTCTAGCTGAGAGCGTTATATTTGAAACAAAATCAGCGTTAAATTGATGTAACGCGCTCCTACATTCAACCACGTTCTATGGTGAACGTATCCAGAAAGAAGAGCAGCTTGATACAAGCATGGCACAGATAAACTTGTTCACAATGAAATGTATTTGTCCCACAAAGTAATACCATTTTGCTTGGATTGTGCATATTTCGGGTATAAACAACACGATTAACGCGGTACACCATTTTATACCCGTTGAACAAACAGTACCTCGATTAAAGTATGCTCACGTGGTTTATCACACCATTATGAGATTCTTGCCGTGCAAGATCATCATAGAAGATTATTTTGTCTTAGAAACCATTCAACTGCAGTATCATCTCATGACATGATTACAAGGTAAATTGATCATGCTCAAATAGAATTCATTCATGCACAAAAGTATAAATAAAACCGTTTTTCACATTGCATGACCGATTATAGCCCTGATGATGACTCACAGCTCTACAGCAATGTGAAGGAGATCGAGTCACTCTTAAAGGAGTGCCAAGATCAGGTAACTGGTAAGTTGTTGATTCTAATTAGATAATTTAAAGGGCATTTACAAAAGCATACAGGAATATGTGCAGGAAAAAAGTGATCTGGTAAACGAGCGGAATATAACGGCAGAAAAAATTATAAGCGAGTTGCTGCAGAGCATTGATGCCCTCAAAAAGGAGAGGAAAGACATGAAAAGTTCGTATTTCAAAATAAAGGCAGGTATGAAGAGCTTGTTCGAGATTAACAGCTGCAAACAGGAAGGTGAAAAGAATGCTGATCATTAAAACCGGTGTATGTGCATTGCATACAGGCATGTGTACAACGATGCGGTGTGAGCCTGATTTGTATTCTTTGTGGCGCGGCACAGATGAACCAATGATCCGTGAACTGAAGGTTATCGAAGTTAATGCTGGTTTTAATGCGCTGGCAGACAGGCTGCGGCTCAGTAATCGATCAGGTTTTCTTAAACAAACCATCTGATTACGAATCGTTCACCGAGTAAAAAATGAACGTGCGCCCCGCATAAACTACCAGCACTAAATTTTTTATTGCAGATCGTTTGTTCATCCTCCCACACAGCTACGGCAAAAACCTCTTTGCGTTAAGACGGCCATCAAAGCAACAACTGCAAAGTTTGTTTTGTACGAAGGCAATGCGTTTGACAGAGCATACACCCAAAAACGGCTTACCATCGGTTGCTACCTTATGAGGACTCTCGCACTATGAATTGCCATAGAACAGCTAATTGACAGGTGTAGCCTGCATTTGAGTACCAACCGATCTAAAAAATTGAAAATGTGCCGGCAGCACGAGCCGTGAAATGAACCGCTGTGGCACCGAGCATGCGATCCTGTACCTTCGACCAACTCTACTCACAAATTTACCAACGAAATTTAATATTAAACCAACTTTTCTTCGTGCTCAACCGCATAGCCCACGTTCAAATTGCTTTCAAGGTGTGTGGTAGGCATTTCATTCTCATCAAGGGCAAGGTCTTTCTTAAGCGCATCAATACCATCATCGGTGATGAAAAAATACGCGTGCCTCCAAACAAATTGTTTTCTGGCGAATCCCTTGGATACCAAGCTGATCATAAACTTCATCACCTCTTTGTCATTAATCTCCAGCTCCGAATGTATCTGACCGCTCTTTTCCTCAACCAGGCACACACCTTCTCTAAAAAAGTACTTCTTGATCGTGAGCATCTCTTCGCGTGTCAATTTCATGTTTTCTATGGGGTATGGAATTAAACGGATAAAATTATTTTATGGTGATGTTAGAAGGGTTGGTTGATTCATGGACCAAAGACCGTGGCTAAGACCGCTCCTAGCAGACCAGAAAAGCGTATTGTAGGGTTGTTGTATGAGGAGGTCAATAAACGTACTTTTTGCAAATAAATGAAACGAGTTGATCAATGTGATCCCTGCCGTGCAGTAGAATTGGCATGAACTTGCTGTAATGTGTGTATTAGACCAAGAGTTTATCAAAAGACAATAATTACCGGTAAAATGGCCAAATGATGATCAAACTAATTTTTTAAACCTATTGTACCATTTAATCAAATCTTGCCTCGCCGAATTGCGTAGGATCGACGTATCTCTTCTCCTCTTTGATCTCATCTATCTCTTTTATATCATTTTCGCTCAATTTAATTTTTTTCATGTTGTCTCCCAGTCGCTCCGGTTTGGACGTCTTGTTGATCACCACCACGTTTTTGTCCAGAAGATAGTTTATAATCACCGATGCTACCGAACAATTATATTTTCTGGCAATGTCAGTGATGGCCTTTCCCTTTCCCTGGTTTATGTCCGGAATGCACCTTAGCGACGAATATGCAGTTATCACAATGTTGTTCATCTCACACAATTTGAGTAAATTGGTCTGCCTGAGGAACGGATGCATTTCTATTTGTAGACAAACTGGTTGGATTTTGCAGAACGACAGCAAACATTCCATGTTTTTGCGGCCAAAATTGCAGACTCCGATTGATCTTGTCTTTCCAGTCTCAACAAGTCGCTCCATGTCACCCCACAACTTCTTCAAATTGAATTCTTTCAGAACTACCTTTTTGTCTTCTCCCGTTATTTCTTCAAAATTGCGATCAGGCTTCGCAGACACAGGCCAATGGACCAGGTAGAGATCTAAGTAGTCCAACCGTAAATTTTTCAGGGTCGTTTCAATTGCTAGGTCAACATTGTCGTGATAAGTGTTCCAAATTTTTGAGGTAATGAATAGCTCGTCCCTTGTAACAATTTCTTTTTTAAGAACTTCGCTCATTGCTTCACCAATGTCCTTCTCATTTCCGTATATGTGTGCCAAATCGAAGTGCCTGTATCCCTCCTGAATGGCGGCCTGAATCATAGTTCGAATGGAATCTTTGCCGAGCAACTGCCATGTCCCAAATCCAATGGCTGGTATTTGCTCTTCGTTGTTTAAAGGATAACTTTTCACAATTTTGTCTGTCATGCCCAGGGTTAACTGAGCTGAAACATTAAAAGGTAATAAATATTCAATGTGAGACGTGTTTCACAACAAAATGATCAAGAATGATCGACACGAAGAGCTTAATTAAATGCAATACTCTCCTAGGACACATAAGAAATGCGTTCAGAATCAGTGATGAGTTGGTTTTAGTATAATCTATTCTGGTACATGCATCGGATGCGTTGATAGATTAGTGGGCAACACGTGTCCAACCATTTCTTCGACTACAGCGATAGTCGTGGAGACACGACCATGACAGGTTTACAGCCCCATAACAGTGTTCAACTCAAATAACAAATATCGATGTACATCTAATTATCAGGTTTTTTTGGTTCGATGGCACCCAAAACACTTTTTTGTCTTAAGCTCGCAGGCCTTTTCTTCGCTGAAACTATGCTAGGAATGAACTCCAAAACGATTTGGTGCATGTGATGCGCCTTAACTATGAAAGTGTGTTACGCAGTTTTGAACTACTCCACTGCACTTCTCACTGCTTCAAAAAATATTAACGAACGCCCCTCATGAACAAAGTAAATAGCGAGGAGCTCGTTGTCATCAGACATATGCTCCAAAGTGGGATTCGTTTGGATGAAAGACGGGCTCACGAGCACCGAAGTTATAAGACAAGAGAAGACAACCTACCACTTTACGATGCTAATGTAAGCGTGTCACTGGGCAATTCGGAGCTGACACTATACTTCAGATACAGCGAAACAAGCAGGATTGTAGAAACTGATATGCAAGATAGTATCAGTTTTGACAACTTTTTTGTCATAAAAGATAGATTATACAAATTATTTGATGTGTTCAAGCTCGGTTGCATTGTTGAATACAAGGTAATTCGCGACGATGGAAGTTTGCTGAGCCTGTTCTACAGCGCTTTTGACAGAATTTTGCGCAGTATTAAATTACCGTATATATGCGATAATTACGAGTTTGTGAAAGATAAAAATGACAATCTTGTGTTTAAGACAGCTAATTCAGATTATTTTGTGAAGATGGATAGCGTGAATGCGATTACATATGGGCTTATAGATGACTTTTGTATCATCGACCCTACATTCGTGGAGGAACAAGCTTCTGATGCTGTTCTGACCGTGCTACACCAGGGTGATACAATGAATGGCCTTTATTTATTTTCAGAGCATGGTATTGCCTTGGAAACGCTCAACAGGTTCCTGGAGAATGATCTGTTGCCGAAATAAAAGCGTATACATTAGATACTGGTAACCGGTCACGGATAGGGCGAGCCAAAATGGTTTAGAAATTTACTAAACGACAGAATGAAATATTCAGGGCTTGAAAACTTTTTCTGAAAATTGTCTCGTAACAATTTTAACAGGTTAAATAATACGTTAAACAACGAAAGTACTTTTAATATCTCGCACAGATAACCTTATGGACCAAAAGACATGCCCACTACTTTTCTAAGATCGATAGCATTTCCTCGATAATCTCTATTTCTCTGTTGTCTACACCTTCAATTTCAAATTCGAACTTCTTATTGATGAGATCACACAATTCATTGTCCATGTAAATGCCCTCGTGTACGGTATCAAACAGCTTCATACTGTTTTCATAGTTAAACGTGATGATCTCGCTCGATTCTCTGATGTCATCGTTTAGTTTGTTTATGTCACTCCTGATACTCACAACTTTCTCATAATTCTTGTTCAATTCGGGGTCCTCAACCGTTGTCTTGTAGGTCTCGTACAAATGCTTCGTTCTCTCATGCTTCAGTTCAATGTCACGGTACGCAGTTGGTTGTATATTTATGTACTCTTCAATATTTTGGATAACCTTTTGAGTAAAAGGAATTAGCTGTCCTAGCAACGCCTTCTTTTTTTGCTCTGCCAGCATTGTGGGGATTAAAGTCTTTGGTGCAATGTTTATCTTTTCTATCTTTGGAACACTTGCCAACAAAGAATTCAGATTGACCAAGCTGTTTATTGCTGTAGACAGCACCATCACCAGGGGAGTAAAAAAAACAATTTAAAACACGGCCACTCGTACAAGACTAAAATGACTTGCAGCTAGGTATCGTGCCACTGCTTTTGTTCATATTATTGGCAGAATGCCTACAGCTGTCTTTCTGTAGCTATTTCTCTTTTTATGTGCTACATTCATCCTTATGATTTAACTCGGAACCATCTATAACGCTTCGTCTGAAAATCGCTATACCGATGTTAAACAAATCACAAGAATGCAGCCTACCGTTTAGCATCTCATTGAGCACTTCGCGTCAACTTTTTTGGTGAAAACCATCATTTGTAGTAATCCCGGTATTTCGTACATCTCAGCCATTATTTGTGGTTAATATATCAACGTGCCATAAATAAGTCGGTGGATGGTGCATACTCGCAAATAAACAAAGGACCATTGCGATCAACAAACAGATAACTCAGGGCATTTAGGCTCAATTTATCTGAAATGTTTGTGTACATGTCATTAAAAGAAAAAAAAATTGCGGCAGCCATGGGTAAACAAATTGATGAGTCGAGCATAACAAGCATAGTGCTAGAAAATGAGAGCTTTAGGATCAGCGCAGAGACATTCAGAGACATACTGCTGAGAGTAAAAAGGAAAAGAGAAATAGAGGAGAGCGAGACGTCCGAGCTGATCAAATGCATCATTACCAACGCAGAGGACTGGAAGATAAATGAAATAATGGTGGTGCTGAAGGAGAATCTCACAAACATAAATTGGATCAAGGTTTTTGAGCTGTTTGATGACAAGAAATTTACCATTGATAGCTTGCGCTCGTTCAATAGAATATTGGAATGCTGGAAATGCATTAATGGTGAGAATACGTTTCCTTACAGAATATTCTTCAAGGTGTGGAACAACAAAGAAACACAGGAAGAATTTTTGAACTATTTTATTGAAAGTAGAGAGGAGAACCTCAGGGTTTACAACAATGTTTTTCTCACACGGATAATCACGCCTGAGGACCTGAAGAGGGACAAAGTGAAAGATGATATCAATCTTGAAAGCCACTTCAACTGCCTCGAGTTCTTTAAGATTCTGAAGGATCTTAACCAGGAAGAGATGATCAAGAGAATCTGCATGATATCAAATGATTGGGTGTTTCTTGGGTTGTCGTCTGTGTTCCCGTTTTGCTCTAAAGTCTTTGACGATCTCTTCATCCAATTTTTGAAGAAAGAGCGGGTTCTTTTTCTGAGCGTTATATTTCGCAACAGCCCGGCTCTCCTCATCAGAAAGCTTGCTGAGGCAAGAGACAAGGGCTTCTCGCTCAATAAGCTGCTGGATATAATTCTGGAGCTGAAGATACTGCCCGCAATATTGGAAATAATGAATCCATCGTTCTTTTGCTACGAAATTTTGATACTCAGCTCGAGAAGAGATCATTTAAATCTGTCTATATGGATAACCAACGCTTTTAAGCTCAAAAAGGATGTTTTTGCAAGTTCTCTGATAGGCTATATTATTGAGAAGTTTACTCGTGCGGAACAGCAACTGAAAAACGGCATAAAATTGGACGAAGATGCAACGGCAGAGAAGACCCTGTATCCTCTTACCTTTGAGATTGCGCTTAACATCTTGCAAACGCTGGAAATGTTATCCAATTCATTCAACAGAGATGTACTTCAGAGTTTCAATCGGTTAAAGATGGTTTTACCCTTAGAGCTGAAAAATATAACGGAGAAGAAACTGTCTTTGGAGCAACAAAGTAATGATTTTATCACTTCTGTGGTAAGTGGAACACGCACAGTAGATCAGGCAACAGAAATAATACAGAACCTGGTGAATGGGAACCTGAACGAAAGAGAGCTCGCAATGAAAATATTTAGTACCATGCTGGATAACTACCACAACTTCCACAGGATTAGCTCCTCAAAAACACTAGCGTTCTTATTCGGCAGGTTGATCGAAAAGCGGCTCTTCCCCAAGTTTTACATGCAAAAGGCACTTAGAATAATCGCCAACCTTCTGAAGAATGTGTCGTCCAAAGAGTTCAGGTTTGCACTACACACCTTGTCTATGTTCTGTGATGGCCAGCGAAAAGGTGAATTCGATGCTTTTTTCGAGGAAATTTCCAAAATAGACAAGGTTAAGGAATTTTTGTTGGAAAGAAAGAAGAACTATGTGTTGGAGGATGATGCCATCGATGAAATAGGATATGATAATTTTATGGATCTTTTCTTTACACCACTAAACGGCGACATCATTGTCAAGCTGTATATGGAACTCAAAGAGGATCAGATCGAGAATGTTTTTTTGAAGACTTTGAAGTACCTGATGAGCGACAATATTCTGAACGAACGGGGAATCGATCTTGATGAGATTATAATAAAGACACGGGAAGTGGAGAGTGGCTGCATCAAAAATATCGATATTATGATCGAAAACGATATCAAAAATGAGGAACATATCACCAAGCGAATAAATTTCTTCGACAACAATAGCAGCATGTGCTCGATGAACGACAATCCTCAGCGTGTCAATCAGGTCTACCAGAGCTACCTCGAGCAGGTGAACTTTTCCATGGATAACACCAATTTGCAACACTTCCTGCGCTACTTTTTTGAGAAAAAGATATTTGAAACCAACAACCACTTCCTTTTGTTGAAATATTTTGATTATTTTGGAGAGGATTTTTACCACCTTTTCTGCGGCTTGGTATTTGAAATGTTTCGGTACCTCAACAAGTACAGAATTGATAACGAGATGCGGTTCGCCAAGTCTCTTGGTCAATTTTTTGGAAAGTTTACCATAGGAATGAACCGTTTGTATGCGTTGGATGTGTTCAACATGAAAGAGTATATAATTGGCTGTGTAGAACGCAAACGAATATTCTTCTGTGTGATTTTCATGGTCTATTTCATTAGGCAAGGAAAGTTTGGTCTGGTCTTCAAACCAAGGAATCCGTACATAATGAACTTGATTTACCTGCTCAACGAGATCTGTGAATATTCGAAGGATCAGCTCAAAGAAGAGATTGAGAGTCTGTTTGCCGAGCTGAAGTTAACACACATAAAACAGACGAGCATGCTTGTGAATCATGTTAGCATGGACAATACGACGGTAGTGTTTCTTGACAGCTACAACCTAGGTCATTTCGATAAGGTCCATTCAAAGGTGGTTTCTATGGGAATAGATTTCAGTATCAGAGAAGTTACGTTTCCGCTGATGGAGCGGATCATGAACATCTCGTTGAAAACGATGAATTTCTTGTTCAGAAGAAGGAAGGATAAGAAAGATGAGTATGTATACGAGTATAAAAGGAATTTTATGATCAACCTGATAGGCAATTTGACGGTAGTTTGTTCGTTGGAACCGATGTGTGCGGCAATCATTGGAAATGTGCCATACTTTCTCAAGATGGCTGGTTTGGAGGTAGAAAACGAGAGAGTGCATGCTGTGGCAAGAAACAACATCGACAAATGCAATAATATAATAAGGAATGCCATAGTAACAAAGGTGCTTGAAGACTTGGAGCGAGGGTCGGGCACAAAGACGAGCCACAGCGATCTACATATGTTGCAAATAGCTCCTGATGTTGAACCCACACACATTGAGCCGATAAAACAGACCGAGTATCAGGAGGTGAAAGAGAAGCTCTCGAAGATACAGAAAAAGCAGCCTGATAAGAAGTTGGAGCATATTTTGGGAAAATGGGGCGTAATTCTGAGAGAACTAGAGGGATACATAAATTTAGATGGTAGGAGCAGCGAGAATGAGGACAGAGAGATAGATGAACAGAAGGCACCTCTTTCTTTGATCGAAGAGATTGTTCTGTACATTGTGAATTCAACAAATCCTGATATGCTCGCCGAAAATATGTGCCAAAATATTATATCGTTCCTCTTAAGAACGAATGACGAGGTAAACATGGAGCTTATGTTCTACTTCCTCAAGAGATTATTCAGTTTTTCGTTTAAGTGCCAGTGCGAAGTGTCATCTTGGCTTATCTACTCTAACGATGACAGGAAGTTTAACATCAAGCTGTATGTCGGTTTTATCAAGCACAACCTGATTAGATTGCAAGAGCTTGACCAGTATTTTTCGCAGAAAATCAGGGACGATCGGTACTTAAATTTTATTGTGGCTCTACTCAACCAGCTTAATATGCCATATGAATTTATAAACACCATAGAAGCGATATCGAAGTTGAACGAAGAAAAGTATGAGAGCCGAATTTATAACATGCTTAAAGAGGTTAGTAACATCACCTTCTACAATCACAAGGAGTTATCTGGTTCTAATCTGTTCGATGAATACGTCAAAATCATGAAATATTCCTTCAGTCCTGAGAAGTACTTTGGAACATTCTTTAATGTTCTTAACGAAAAGGTGAAGGAGCCCCGGTCTTTCATTGTGAAGTGCTTCATAATTTCGTGGGACCATTTTGTAAGATTTTACAAAATACCGAGCGGGTTTAAAAATCTTAAAATCAATTGCTTGCCTATGCTACTGAGGGAGTACAATCCAAACTTGGGCATGGAGGTTGCCCTTGAACTGTTCTTCAATTCATTGGATCGAAAAAATTTTCTGTTCCAGAAGATGTTTTTGCAATTCCTTGGAACGAGCGGAAGCATCACGCTCGAGGTTTTACATCTGTTAGTGCCCAGGAACGCACCACATTTCTGCCTCAATTTCATAAAACTCTGTAAATACTTTATCACCGACTTCGTACAAATGAAAAGGGAGGGCAGTTGTTTTGATGGTTTTAAGATCTGTAAGGAGCTTTTGTATCCGTTGAAATACTACCGTGAAGAATGCAATTTAATTCTGAGTGAAATCCAGGACTTTTTCAAACATATTGAAATTTTGACCAGAGAAAACGATGTAAATGAGACTGCTGGAACCAAGAGCGCAGTTTCTGGCGGCGTAACAGAAAATGCGGCACAAAAGAAAGCAAGCGCTAGACAAACAGACGTGTTTATACAGAGGAATATAAATTATAGCCTATTTTACGATATCGGAGATTTTTTCAACAACAGGTTGAGAAACAACAATTTTGTAATGCTCAAAAACCTGTTCAACAAGAGGAAACGCCGAATTTACAGCAAATCATACGATTTTTCCACGATAGACAACACCTATAAATCAATCATAAATTATTCAGGCGATAACTTGGTCAACATTCTGCTCATGAACAGTGTACGAAAGGATGTAGCTATAACGGCACTTGTAGATAATCTTTCGGATGAAAATCCGCAGGGCTACGAAGAAAACTGCAGGGCCTTGCTTTGTCTTTCAGAAAACGATGATTGGTCTGAGAATCTACTCGGTTTAATCTTCTACAGAGTGCTTGGAAGTAATCCACCATACTTGCTTGCGAAGGTTTGCAAGGAACTGATGTGTAAAGAAAACGCGAAGATTGGTAGCGGTGTAAAGGAAAGGGTGAGTGATGTTGTTAAAGGTGTCAACTAAGTAGATATTTATATTTTCAATAAACGCTGACCATTAGTAGGTATTTATTGTCCGTAGATGAGCAATTCCTTACTCAACTCTTCTGCTCACTCATTACACTGAGGTCCGTTACAATGATTGTCATTACCGTGTACTCCTTTTTTCGATCCAATACGTGTTTTGCATCCTGGCACGGTACTGATGGTGTGTTAGGCACAGATGATTAGTTTTGTTCAGCATCGGTGTGAGAGATACGCCGGTCTGAACACGGATATGAGGGCGAATAACCTTGGTAGTGTTAATTAGCATTTCTGCCAACTGTGACATACGTTAGCAGTGCACAAGGTTTGATTGGCCCGTTACTCCAACGTAGAACAGCCCATTAAAATGTTATATACGGTACAATTCCCTAGTATTATTAGAAACGTGCATTTAACTCCTTCTAGCATAGATTGGTACAATTTCAGCAATAAAGCTATGCTTAACCGCACCATAAATGTTATGAACTGCAAACGCGTGAACACGGTCAGTTCAAGCGAGATAGACATGAGCATTGTCCAGGTGTCGTGATATGAAAAGATAAATAAATTACATTCAGCAAGAATGAATGTAAGAATGAGCTGGTTTTATTTACTATTTGATTTTAATCAAAAGTTCGTCTACAGTTCGATGAATTGCACCTGCACTCAAAGCGTACTGCCCCTTTGCTAAGGTTGTAATCATACGAAAGCTCTTCATTCTTTGTTATTATTCTCTTAGCGCAGATAATTATACGCGATGCGGTGCCACAAATCACCTTCGTTGCGTAGCAATTCGGCTCACAGCTATGATTTATGTACTTGGCAAGGTTTCCCACCACCGTAGCATCAAGGATAATCTTACTATTCTTTCTAAACATATAAATTCTGTCTTGATAGACTCTTTCTCTCCTATCGGCCTCCTCATCGCCGATTAACTCTCCCGTGTATTCTATTATAGGCTCATCTTTGTCGTACAAACGAGTGCTAAACAGACCATAACCTTCCACTGCACTCTTAGACAACCGTGGACGACCGTGTCTGAGATGTGTGACGAGGTGAGTCAGAGTTGGATTCATTTTAATTGCGTTTGACGAAGAACATGATATGATATCGGATGAATATTCCAGTTTTTCGTTTAAGAAGCGTTTCATTTCTTCTATATTGGCATCGAAAAGATCGCTCGTAAGTATACCAGGTCTATTTCTACATTTCTCCATAAAGTACGTGTATACTCTTCTATCTAATCCAAACAGCTGTTCTAAGGACATGTCTCCTACACCAGACTCCTTTCCATACATCTTACACAGCATGCTGGTTCTTACTATCTCATCATTCAGATATAGGTAATCTCCTCGTCGTTCCAAAAAATCCTCGTTAATGATCACGCCGTACCACTCTTCGCTGTAATAAACGTAGTTATTGTACCTCAATCCCGTATTAATGCCAACATATGGGAATTGATACGTAATCCTGTGTTTAAAACATGTGGGCACGGTTAAATCACATACCAGCACAGTCTTCAAACATCGAATATGGAAATAGTTCTTCTTGCAAAATACACACTTAACAGTGGCCCCTATTTTCCTGCAACCGAAGCATTTCTCACCATCTCCAATCATTTGAGAACCTTCTGCGGTATTTCCTTCGTTCGGTTCATCACCTGGTAGAAACGATGGCAGTTTATCCGATGAGATTGTTGGAAAGTCTGATGAGTATGCCGTGCCTGCATTTTCATGGAGATTTCCAAATGCAGAGTCGATAAATAGAGCTTTTCCAATCTTTATGTTCCTTTTTCTGTTACTTTTCAGTATTTGAATTTTGCATTTTTCGTAGATTAATTTCCATTCTTTGCACAGCGTGCATTCATAGCGAGGCAGCGATTCGAGCCTGATGTACACCTCCCGAGTGATATTCTCGCACTCTCTGTGCAGCCATCGTGTGCACATATCACAGTGCACCATCTCAACAGAATAATCGTTGGTATCGTATTCTTGACGGCATTTGGGACAGTAATGGCTAGGTAAAATTTCTAATTGTGTTAATTGTGGGTACGGCTCCTCATTGTCGTCTACATGTTCTGTCAACTCAGTATAGATACGCTCTGGAAAATCGTATGTTCGCTCCATTTTTATAATGTTTTTGAGTATATTATGGTCAATTTTTTTCGTTCTTTTGTTTGTCACACCGTTTGTTCCGCTCTGTTTACAGTGATTCAATTGCAGCGCAGGATTATTTTCACGATCATTGTAGTAAAACCACTGAAAAACCATGATGGGTCTCATTTTTGCTTTTTTATGAGGTAAATGGCATGATAATTGCCACACACACCATTTCGCCGCACAGCTCTTTACGATCTGTATTGCAAGTGGTGTGACTATGGCACTAGAAGTTCTTTAGAAGAGAAAATTTTCACAGAACATCATGACTGTTCCTCAAAAAGCACCAAGTTCATTGCACTTGCATGTACGCAATGTTGTACGGTACACAAAAACGCTCACTGTAGAATATCCCTAATCTGTTAATTAACTCGTTTCTCTTCGTTTCTACGAATGAAAGGTGAAACTCAGGTCCAAGTATAAATTTGTTAAAGTTTTAATTTTATGGCAAAAAAAGTTGTAGAAACCAAAAAATAATCTTATTTGCTTTTTGTAGTCGAATACACAATTGATCAATGTTCTACCGCGATGTACTACGTTTGTCCAATGGCACAGGTTAGTCAGAAAGCAATTTTAGTAGGTGTAGCTGTTCAAACAGAAGCTTTTATTTAATTTTAGTGTGTAGGGATGCTAATTCTAACACTATAGATTTCACTATTATGCTCTAACTGCCATATCTGCGAGCAATACTTTATGATAGCTGTCAGGATCCAACAAATCTCATCTTAGGAAGGTATCATCTTGCATCAACCCGCCTATTCTATCGTTTTATTCATAGTTTTGATTTTTTCAATCCTTGTAGTACTAAGAACAATAATGGCTGTCATGATAGATAGATCGTGTCAAGAAATTAGTTTAACAGTCACCTCACAACACTACGTGGGCAATCTCTCTGACGCGCCGAATTCCTACATAGCCTTTTATACTTTAGGCACATTTATAATTTTCACAGCCATTACGACCATAATTCGCCATAAAGAGGTGATGATATTTAGAAATCTTACTGTTGAGGCATTCTGAGAATCACACCCACCAAAAATGACTCCCTTTTGACACTTGCCAATCTAGTACAATCATTCTCAGTGAGCTTAGGTTCTCATGGCTCCATTTAACACTACTCCAATTATTGGTACTGAAATATAAAAATTTACTTATACAGCCATTCTTAGATCTATGATCCTTAAATTAATAATTGTACACAACTATTTGAAGTGGTTTGTCTTGTTGATCCTGCTCATTACTCTGCTTTCATTTTCGATTTCTTTTTCACTCAACACCCTCTTCGGATTCAATATAGCCTTTTTCAAATCGTAGATTTTTTTCCGATCGCTTATTAAATCACCGAACGACCTACAAGTCTTGTAAAACGGCAAAGGCTTTTTGACTTTCTCTTTTCTGTATAATTTTCTGTATATTTTCTTTCTCTTTGACGGACAGCAGCTTGTTCTCAGCACGTCCGTTATCCCCGATATTTCGTAATCAATCGACAATATCTCTTCGTTGAGTTTCTGCTGCTCGTTTTTTAAACTCAACAATTTGTCGATGTAACTGAATTCCAGATACGCACGTTTAAGCTTTTCCAGTGTGCTTGCCTCGCTTCTTCTAGTTTTTCTTCCGGGCACATTTGTTCTTTTCCTAAAACATAAATACGCATCATAGTCATCGTTTCCTATGACCTTCACCGTTCTCTTCGAGTAGTAATTCGTTATTCTCTCTTTAACTTCGCTGTTTTCCAGTTTTTCGTATTCTTTGGTTCCGATTGCCCTAATAACATTTTGAAAGTCTGCCATTTCTATTTTTTCATGTTCTAAAAACCTGCGATCCTCCTCTTGCAACACGTACTCATTGGAAACATCGCTTTCATACTTGATATACTTTTCTGGCGGCCTGTACTCGCCATATTCCCTGATTTTATCGGTGCTAACCGTGATATTCGGTATAACTATATTTCCTTTACCACTCTCCAGCAGCTTTTTCAGATGAATTTCTTTTTCTTCGTCCTGTTCTACACCCGTTTTCAAGTTTGTGTGCACGTAGTCAAGGAGCAAGGACTGATCAAGCTCGTCTGCGTAATACACCATGTGCTGTCTATTCGTTTCTAGTTTTTTATTTCGTATTCTTTTAGAAAACATGTGGCCTTCTTTATTATTATTTTTTTAAATCTACCACACTTTAAAAAATTTTATGCTTTGTGCTAGCACAAGGAAAAAATGAAAATAAGCAAAACAGGAATGAAAATACAAACAAAATGAAAAGAACAAATTGGTGAATTTTCCAAAGAATAAATTAAAAACTTTTTAATTAAATCACGAAAAGCAGTGACGTGTAAGTATGAACGGTATGAAGCCCCCATAAAAATAAAATGAAGGGTTCAAGGGTAAGCCAACGGCAAGCATTCAAGTTTTTGTAAGTTATTATGGTAGAAATACATCTCTGCTTTGAATAAATATTCTTGCAAAAGAATTGCTCAGAAATTCGGATAA